CAAAGGGAAATGCAGAAGAGCAGACGAGAAAACCCCTGGGAGGAAATGCGAAAGAATCGGTTTAACCCTGCAGGGAACCCAGAAGCAACGGCCTCAGCAAAGTGGGAGCTGAAAGCCTCATGCAGAAAAGCCTTGGCGCTGAACGTTCGCGGGGCCCCCACCAGGAGCCGAGCTCAGCAAAAGCTGCACACATGGCGCCCCTCTCCTGTGCCCACGACTCGCGGTCTCTGCCAGGGCTGCACGAGCCGTGGAAGGAGGGTGCCAGCTGCGCAGCTGGAGCGCCACACAAGCTCAGCCGGCTCCCTAAACCAGGGCTGAGCACAAGGCGTCTGTCCCAGAGAAGAGGCCAGATCCAAGAGGACCGTGCGAACCCTGTTCAGGGGAATGGATCCAGTGTACCGAAAACTGGGCAGGCCACTAGTGGACCTCCTGCTGTTGTGGCTTCTGGTTCCCATCCTCCCTTTCCACTGCTTACCCTGGTTAGAGCTGATGAGAGTGAAAAAGGCAGCAGAACTTTACACCCACCATGGAGAGAGGAATCAGTTCCATTTTACAGCCCTTGAGAAGCCTTCCCAAGGACCCTGGGAACTGAAGCCTAATTAGCACAGTATTTAAAAGAGAAAAAATCGAAGCAAGAACACTCGCTGGGCACATTTATTGAAAAATGGAGTATTCACTGAGTGTTAAGTATTGAGAAAGTGTCTGTTCATATATTAATTTCTTTTTATGATTCTTTTAACTACATCACATTTAATTTTTTAATTTAAAAAAGTTCTGTTTAACTTGTTCTATCTTCTAAAAATTGTGTGTGTATGTGCACACTTGGCACCAATTCAATAGCTGATGAAGAGCACTTTTCCCATGTTCCCCTCAATTTCCCATTGAAGTGGCTGCACAACTGGCTTTCTTAAATTATATTTCCTCAGACAAACAGATATTCATATCTCATCGCATAATTTTCTGAATGTTAAATATTAATTGTATTATATTATGTAAGGATTTTTAAGGCCTCCTCATTTTTAGCAAACTCCATTAATATTGCAAAACTGCAGCTACCTCCTGGTCTACAGAAGCTCTTCCTCTCCCAGCGCCTCCACTCACATTCCTCTCAGTGGGTGAATCCTACGCAGATTCAGTCCTTCCGATATTTGGCCTTCCCTTTTGTCTCCTGCCTTCGACTTCCCCTAACAGGATTGCCTTCTTCGGGGAGTTTTGCCTTCACAGGAGGGGCCTCCGTTTTGGCATGTTCGCTTCTAGGGAAAGCTCCGGCTTGATTTGACCCAGGACCCACCTTCTTTCCCTGTAGGCCCAACGCTCTCCTCCAGGACCCTATTTCGAATGCATCAAGTTTCTTCCTACCAGCTTTCTGCACTGTCCAGCTTCCAAACCCGCTCATTGCAGCCGGGAATACCATCGTCTGGATGATCCAGACCTTGTTCTCAGTGGTGCAGTGGCAGATTTAGTAGTGAGGGTCCCTTCATGATAGTAATACCCACACCTCAAAGCCACACCCCCATCAAAGCCAAACACCCCAAGTCCCACCCACTTCCAAACTTATGCAACCTACAATTAAAATGAGCTTTGTCACTTGTTTGAATTTCTGTTGAGTAATGAATGTAAGATGAGGGTATCTCTTTCTGGGTGAAACAACAAAGCTACTAGAAGTTATTTCTTATTATCTTATTATGAATGAATGCTTTTTGTTGTTATTTATTGCATTCATACCTGGCTCTCCAGCCAAAAAGATCCCAGAGTGACTTATGTGGAATTAATAAGGTGTTTCCCACCTACAGACTTCCTGTCTAAAAACATGACATGCAAGGATAAAGGGGCAGGGAGCTGTTGGAAACCCCCTCCCCTCATTCTTAGCATATTAAATTCAAGACTCCAAACCAGCAGCAGCTGCCAGCCATGAACCAGCAAAATTAAGTCTCTTGAAAGGCAATGCAAGAGGAACAGTGACCCCGCCGAGGAGCCCCCAGAGGAAGTGGGGAGCTCAAACCCCCAGAGGGCCCTTCCATTACACCTCTCATGCGCAGGAAAAAAGAGGAATAACCGTATGGGTATCCTAGTACACGATGCTCCTGCAGCTGCAGCCATGAACTCCAAAAGCTGGAAAAAGCATGTTTCAGTGCATGGGTACCCATGGAGAGAAAAAGACACACATCTTCAGTGATGGGCGATATTCTTACAAGAAGTGAAAGACTCTCCCCAAAACCCTGGCTGCAGGAAAAGGGGGGCCACCTGAATGACACAGTGATCCCTCTATTCCCCTTGCAACACAAACAACAGGCCACAGCACCTTTCAAACACCCTACCTAGCCCAGAAACAACCCTCTTCATTATATACATTATTACAGCTGCTTGGAAGTAAGCTTAAAACACACACACCTGCCATTCAGGCTTCCCCAAGCTAGTGCCTTGAAGATGCCATGGCCTACAACTCCCAGCAGCCTCAGCTAGCAGGACCAATGGTCAGGGGTGAAGAGCATTGCAGCACAAAAATTTTGGAGGGCACCTGGTTGGGGAAGACCACTTTAAGCAATGGTGGTGGTGATGAAGAGGAAGAAATGTGTAAGAAAACTGTAACTTCAGATACTCCTTTCAGAGCATGTGGTGGCCAAGCAGCCCTTTCCTAGGTGTACTTTTGGGAAGGTTGTACCTGCAGTGGCAACGTGGGAGCCAGGAAATTTCGCCCACGGGCAGCGCGGGGACTCCGACTTTCGAGGCCGCTTCGGAGACTGAACTGCGTGCGCCTCTTGTCTTGCGATGGCCGCCTGCTGCCCTCTGGTGGACACGGCGTGAAATAGCCCCTGTGGAGGCAGGCAGAGCTGCAGGACACATTCGGCCTCCAAGCAAAAGCAGAAGGAAACTGAGCTTTGCAAGGCAGCGGAAAGGGAGGGCAAAACGGGCTGGGAGAGGTGGATTGGGGCCAGATAGGAGCAGGCGGTGCGTGCGGGCCCAGTACCAGCCGTCAGACAACACTAGGGCAAGGGTTTGCTTGTGAGGTCCTCACTTGGGGTCCCTCAGGTTGGGAAGAGAAAGAGAGGGCGGGGAGCTCATGGAGAGTCCTCTGGGATGGACAGCAATTCCCTCACTGGGTAAAGAAGGCCCCTCGGCCCAGCCAGAGGGATGGATGTGGTGAGCAGCAGAGATGAGAAATTACGCCCCCTGGTGCTTAACTGAAGCATTACTAAGGAGCCTCTGCAGCGCCAAGATTAATTTACAGGCTCCCAAAGTGAACCCTGTGCACGTGCTGCATCGCACTTGCTTTCCAGTTTTCTACGCTTGGTTAAACAAGCGCACAAACAGCCAAAGCCCCTGCAGAAAGGCAGTTCTTAAACTAGTTTTATAATGTTCCATTATGGAGGAAAGCAGTGGGGACACGTCCAGTTCATCCACTGCAAATGGCACTCAAATCTGTGCACAGGCCTGGGCTGCTAACAAACACACCCTCTTGATTTCCTTCTTGACCGTCTCCCGCTTTACAAGTTCGGGAAAGGAGCATAGGCGGAGTGAACGGACGGCACATGGCGATCATCCCCACCCCGACCTGAGGAGCCAGAAGAGTCGGACTACAAGAGCCAGTGTGGTGCAGCGGTTAAGAGCTGGGACTGGGACTCAGACGATCTGGGTTCTAGTCCCCGCTTGGCCATGGAGCCAACTGGGTGACTTTGGGCCAGTCGCAGACTCTCAGTCCAGCCTACCTCACAGGGTTGTTGTGGGGATAAGATGGGGAAGGAGAATGATGTAAGCTGCCTTGAGCCCTTTGTAGGAAAAAGGCTGGATATAAATCGGGGGTGGGGGGGAATACAACTCCCAGCCAACATGGCCATTGGCATATAGCCACTGTACCTTAAGGAGCATGGTCTGGTAAGTGAACTAGGCAGTGACCATCTGAGAAACGACTGCATACCCCTTTGTACTCAATCCTAGACAGACAGATCTTTAAATAGCATGCAGCTGAGAGAAGAGGGGGTAAATAATGCAGGAAAATATAGAATAATTGCCATAACATTCCCTGTTCAGCATAAATATGTCTTTCTAGTCACAGAGTCACCTTTGAGCTTTGCCAGCCAATAGAGTTGGAGTGCCCCCTTGTGGTACCTGCAGAAAATGGCACGCAACGGAGGCACGTGTCGCTTGAGCAGGGGAAAACATCGGGATGCCCACTCGAACACTTCCAGTTCTGACTGCCACAGGCCCAGCGCCAGCATGCACCCCCCGGGGCAGCTCGCCAATGCCCCCAGCAGGGCCTGCGGTTTGCATCTGTCTGGAAGACGTGAAACACACGCAGGAGATTTGAACACAAGTGGGAAACTATCAATTCCCCACCACGTAACCGCGCAGCACTGCTATAGGGCAGAGGGGTAGATGAAACAGCGTCTCCAGTGTGGGGCAGAGGCACTGGCAAGCAAAAGAAGAGCCACCCTGGATCAGAACTCTGGTCCAACATTCTGTTCACGGGGGGGCTTGCAGCTGGCCACGGAAAGCCCTCAGGTGAACGTGGTTGCGACATGCTGTCCCCCAGCGACTGGCATGCAGAGCTAGGCAGCCCCAGCAGGGGAATATATAGCCATCCTGGCTACTGCTAGCCCTCGATACCCTTCTCTTCCATGCATCTGTCTCCTCCCCCTTTGCAAACATCCAAATAGTGGCCTTTCAGTACATCTCATGGCAGCAAGTCCGACAGGGTGTGTGTCATGGGAAGCATTTCCTTTCATCTGGCCCCCGTTTTTCTGCCACTCCACTTCATGGGATGATTCTGGGACTAGTACTGCCGGAGAGGGAGGAAAACCTCTGCCTGCTTTTTCCTCGCCATGCATCATTTTGCACTCGTCTTTCATGTCTCCCCACCCCAAAGTTAGGCAACCCCAGACTGTTTCTCCCAGGGCTTCCGCAGCCCCTTGCTCGCATCAAGGCCCTGCCTGTAACCCAATCCGCTGATGTCGCTCATGTATTTCTCAGCTTCCTTCCGCAAGGGAACAGACACATGGAGGGACAGGAGAGCAATCGGAGTTTATTCATTAATGCTTGTGGCCATCAAGGGCAAGCTGACACAGTTCAAGGGCAAATTCATTCCAGCCCAGTGCCTGGTGCGGTCCAGGAACATTAAAGATGTTGGAAAGAAGGGTTCAAATACCGCCTTACTCCTATTTCCTTTCATATAGTAATGGCGCACGTTTGATGGAGTTTGCCTTTCTCCGACACCCACGGGCCACTGGTGGTTTACTGGGGCCCCAACAGAGCCCACCCACCTGCCCAGTCGGCTAGTTCACTTGGAAGCTGTCCGCCATTTTGATCTTCCTGCCACGCCCTGGATTAGCTGAAGTGTCACCCTGCGGCATTGTGGGAAATGAGCACGTGCAGCTTTCCCGTTTTGCCAGGTACACATACAGCTGGAAGAGCAAATGGGCTGGGTGGGGGGGGGAGCCCCCAGGCCACTTTCCTTGGTCCTCCCCTCGGATCTTGAGGTGGCCCCGTTCGGTGCCCAATGACTGACCCCACCAGCAATACGGTCATCTCCTCAAGTGGGGGTGTTGAACCCCTTCCAGCCCACAGATTGCATTCTGTTTTGGAGCAGCTCTCGAGGACCACCCCCACATGCTGGTGGGGCCAAGGCAAAGAAGGCAGGGCCAACGGTGCAGGTCTTTTCAGCTTAACGTACTTCTTGCCGGTACCAAGGCCTTGGGAGAGGCATCCCAACCGTTCAGATCGGGGGAAATTGGGAAGCCACCAACCTGTCGGGGTGAAGTTGGCATGGCCTCCTGGGGAGCCCGTGGACCAGACTCGCACAGCTGCCATACCGTCAGTAACCACCTTCGACCATTTTCTAAACCAAGGCTCACCCCTGACAACCCACCGCGGGATGGGGCCTACTCATCTTTGGGGGGCGGGTGGAGCAGGCTGCCTGGGCACGGCTCTCCTCCAGCTTGTGTCCCAAGTGTGATCACATGCAGCCCTGCAGCCTCACCCACCATCTTCTGTGTCTCAGGAAGGAGCCGAACTTGGAAGGAACCTGTGATGCCCCTGCCAGCCAGAAGAATCGACAGGCGGCCAGACAAGTCAACAGTCGAACTCCCGGCATAAAGCAAGCAGTGATGGAGTGGCAGAACGTGGGGCCGCCTCTCCCGCACGGCAGACGGCTCCGTGGGAGTCGCCATCAGATTTTGAACAGAAAGAGCAAGGGGGCCCACACGGTCGAAGCTCCTTCAGGGCTGCTTGGTGAAGTTGCTCAGCTTGTCTTGGGAGAGGAGGGAAGGATTTCAGGAGGGGAAGGGGAGAGCCAGTTCCAGGTGCGAGAGCCAGACCTGGGCCCAGTGGGGAGGCATCAAGAGAAGAAAGGAGCTCAGTTCGGAGGGGCTTCACCATGTGCCATCTGGCCCTCAGACAGTAAAGAGCCACCCTTTGCTGAGTGTGGAGCCAGAAGCTTTACCGGGAGGGAGGGGCCAGGGGAAATCTCCTGTTTGGGTTCAAACTCTTTCCGTGAGGAGAGGCTTCTCCTTTCAGATCTGGGAGAAGGCATTCAGAGCCCAAACTGCTCTGCTATCTCTGGAGACGCAATAAAAGAGCTGCATTTAAAAGGCTGCCTGAGGTTTGGAACCAGGAGCAGGAGAGAGGAGACCTGCTCATGGCCAAAATGTGGTGACTGAAAGCACATCATGTGTGGCAGGAGAGAAACTCCAAGTGTTGAAACTCTCTCTTCTGCGATTAAAAATACAGGAGGCCTTAACATCCATCTTGTCTGAAAACCCGCTGTCTTTTTCCCCCCATATTCAGAGAAAATGCATAAAGGGGTTGTGTTGTCACAGCTGTGGCCACCTGAGTTCAGGGTGTGATTCTTTGGGATGGTCAACACGACAGTTGAAGACCAGAGCATGAAAGACGCTTCCTGCCAGATGCTTGATCAACAGCGCTTGCTAAACTAAAGGCCTGAAGAACCACTTCATTACAGAATCCAAACGGTGCATATATTCTGTGCTTTAAAAAAAATTAAAGTTGCCTACTTTCTGTACAAAGGAAAGGTGGATTTTGTGATCCAAGTAAGTCATGCAGAGGAGCGAAAATAGTACACAGGCGACTTGTGATTCATCTGCTACAGACCTTAAAATCTTGATCTGCCTCCACCTCTGGCTTTGATTTCTTTACATGTTACCTGCATATGCCCTTTCAAACCTGTCTTGCAGCCCTGAGGGCTAGAAACCTATTTAAAAAAAAAAACAAAAAATGAAGGCATCTTAGAAGTGGAATTCTGCACTCTGTAGTCGGGAGTAAATTCTCAGCTTCTGCAGTAGAAACACACAACCCAGTCAATGGTAACACTACAAAATTATTGCCAAATCATTCTGCCCTTCGAGTGACTAACTGCACTCCTGTTGCAATTTGGTGAATCCAATATGGCGCTGAAACCGACACCTTCACCTTTCCGATTTCCCCCATTGTCTTCTTTTCTTTCCTCAGTGGACATTTCAAAGGGTTTCCCCTTTCTTTGGCTGTGACAGGACACCATTTCCTCCGTCGGGGACTGGCATGCAGCCGCAAGCAACATCAGCAGAACTGCAAAACAGACCCAAGGAAACTGACCACCTCCAGACGCTCTGGGACTTTGTGGCCTCACTTGGGAAAGCCCAGGTGAAATTGTCACAAGTGGGGCACCAACCGAGGTCATGAATAAGATGGCCTTTCTCCACCTGGCGCCCTCCCTCCATTTGCGTGGGACAGCATCACCTGTCAGCAAGCCTTGCGGCTTTCTTGGATTCCAACACTCCTCCTCTCCCCAGCCAGCAGCTCCCATGGCCTTCCTGGCGGGAGAGGATGGGTGTTGTCCTCTGACACACCTGAAGAGCACTAGGTCAGGGGAAGCTGGTATAAGACGGCAGCACATGCAGCAAAAGGATCTGGGGCTCTCCTGTGTTGAGGCTCTGAGGACGCACCAGCATCCCAGCCGGAACAACGGACAATGGGTAGAATCCAGGTTTAAGCTGGATCCACTGTGTGGACAGAAGTGGACTTCCCCGCTTGTCTCCTTCACACGGGCATGTCTAGCCCTCTGAAAATGCTAAAAGGAAAGTCCAGACACCTGCAGAACGGGGTAACCTGTGGCGTGGAGGAAGAGGCAAACGGCTAAATATTGGACAGAGGGGCCTTCTGCCACTGGCAGCCTCCCTCTTATGGAGAGAAGATCCTGGATCCAACCCGATAGGTACTGGTGTAGCTAGAAAAAGTGTAACTGCCTTTCCGTGCAATCTTCTCAAGGTAAGGAACTGTAAAGTGCAACTTGGAGCTTCATGCCCATCCCTGCAATGTAGCTCATTACGCAGAGGGAGGGAAGGACACGCGTGCCCTGCTCTCTCAGCCAGGGCACCACACCCACTCCCAGCGCCTTCAGGTGGACCCAGGAGGCCACGGTGCCATCCAAGCACACACCACTTGAAACAGAATCACGCCCAAAATGGTCAGTTAGGGGACCTCGGCAGGGCAACGGCCCAAGCGTGTTGGCCTGCACAGGCTGAACCAGACCCAGGTGGGCCTCAGCCCAGTATGGACATCGGGGGTGGACTGCAGGCCCGTTCCTACTATGCTGCAGGTGATCCGGTGGGTCCGATCAAGGTAAGCAAGACAATCATCTAACGCAGCCTATGGCTGAACGTGCATCCCCTCTGCTTTTTGGGTTTGGAGAGTACCCACGGTGGTCCCTCTTCCTAGTTTTTGATACTAGTTGATAACAAAATGACCATTTGAGGTTTCTCCTGTCTGTTAACTAAAAGCTCCATCTGATGCAAGTCCCCAGTTGGGGCAACCACTCCCCTGGAAGCACAGCTACAGCGGAGGCACTGCGTCTGAGGGAGAACAAGCACATACACACCTTCCAGCGGTTCCCGCATTCGTTGCACAGCACAAAGGTTGTCATGGGCTCATCAGCGCTCCGTGTCTGCACCTGAAGGAGACAGACACCTGTGATCAGGGAGTTTGCACTGGCTAGTACCTGGGTCACAAATGCTAGCGGCAAAGCAGCTGGGAAACCTGACCCTGCCTCCAGAGCACAAGCCCCAGCTAAACAGGAAGCCACTGATTGGGTTGAGACAACACAGTAGCCCTCATTCAAGGGCTGCGCATGGGAGCAGCGTGGTTGCTGTTGAAACATAAACCAGAATACAGCTTATCATTTAAACCCAACGTTTTGAAATGTACACACAGAAAGATGTGTATGTTGCTAAGAAATGGGGAAATGTGTGCATTTTAAAATGTAGACAAACATAGAGACAGAGTGAGTCAGAAGGGGCCTCCTGGGCCATCTAGTCTGACCCCAGCTCCAGCCGGCTCCGCTCATGACATGCCTACCATGTGCATGTCCAGCCTATCCTTGAACACCCGCACCATTGGGGCTTCAGCCACCTCCCGTGGAAGCCCATTCCGTACCCTTGTACTTCCTGGCATCCAAATTGAACCTGGGTATGTATATCTGTATACATGTCTATTTTTGCAGAAACATGCAAAAAATAAAATGTTCTGAACCAATCTGTAGCACTTTGCACACTTGGCGTACAAATCTCTTTTGTCACACACATCCTTCCTGAGGTCCTGATTCCTGCTTTTCCCGGGGGCTTAGTGGCTGAAGCAGAATTCTCCCCTTACACAGGAGACCTGTGGCAAAATAGGCCAGGCAGTGCTCTCTGGTCCGGATGCAAACCACTCCGCTCCACCTCCAGGCATCATAGCCCACTGAGCATGCTCAGACCTTACTGGGATGTTTGGGGGAAAGACTTCTGCAAACCCTGAGGATCCTCGAAGCACGATAATATCACCCTTGTGTGGGGAGGTGCTTCCACTTCGGCTATATAAGAATCTACTGCCAGAAAAGTCAAGACTGCTCTTAGTACCATGTCATAAGGACTGGCATTATTCATTGACTGCAGGTAATCCTAAATCAACCACAAATGCATGTACTGCATAGTTGAAGGAGGTCCGAGAGCCGCATATTTAGCTCCCTGAATCATACCTCGAAGAAGTGTGTTACGGAAGGCGGAGAAGCAGGCGTGAGATGCCAGGGTGTGCTATTCCCATGATCAAATCCAGGGGATGGAGAAGAGACAGCGAGAGAATGGGGAGGGCCCCACCTTGTTTTAAGCTCCACCTACCAGCAAGGGGCCCTGTGACAGATCACCCCGAGGGCAGAGAATCTGGGGAGAAAAGGTCTCCTATTCCTGGATCAGAAGACAGTCTCCAAGATAGGGGTGGACAGAGGGACGCCAAGCACCCCTTCATTTTGGAAGCATTCTCCCTGGGACGCCTGGGTTCCCCCCGCAGCGCCATCCCCATCTCCCTACCTGATTGTAGGTGCAGTTTTTCTTCTTGCATTTGCCACACTGGAAGAGGTCGGTCGTGGTGCCTCCAGTCTTGGCCATCTGGTGCTCTCGGATGGCTTCCTGAGTCATGGCGTTCCGCAGTTCCTTCAGCTCATCACTAGCCATTTCCTGGAATGCACAAGAGCAGGGCTGAGACTGGCCCGGCCTTCATGAGGTCTGCACCCTTTGCAATGCAATTTTATGCTTGTGGATTCTGAAGTGTCCTCCTGGGGGCAAAGGGGTTCACCCCGAGACCGCAGCTACAAATTGCTCTATTTGTTAGATTAATCCATTTCTTTTATAGCATCTATAGAAAAGTAAAGATTAATATCGTCATTATTTGTTTTTCGGCGCCAGGCTAAGACCTTTTTATTTAAAACTTATTTTAATTGTTAAATTATTTGTATTTATAGGATTTTAAAATTTTTAGCCGAGATGCACCAGGGGTTTTTAAATAATTTTATTTTTTTATTGTTATTATTTATGTATTTATGTAGTTATGTATTTGTTTCTGTTGTGAGCCGCCCCGAGGCTTCATTGCGATGGGGGCGGCATAAAAATGTTTTAAATAAATAAATAATATATATATATAATTCTGTCTGTCTGTCTGTCTGTCTGTCTGTCTGTCTCTCTGCTAGACATGCACAGAGAAATACACTTGTATTTATTTATTTATTTCTGTATCTATGCAGCCACCCCATCCATATCTCTGAGTTGCTTACAATTTCAACAGTAAAAGACAACACAACACAAGAACAATTAAGACTAACAATTAGAAACATGGAATTTCAAACTGAGACTCTTTGATTTAAGAGGTTTTGTTTTAATTTCTTTAAAGTCTTGGGCAAGCCAAAGGTCTTTGCCTGGCACTGAAAACCTGGGGCCAGCAAACCTCTCTGGACAGGTTTGACAACCGGGGTGCCAGCACTGGAAAGGCTCTCCCTCTAGTTGTCTCCTGCCTCACCTTCTTTAACAGGGAAAATGAGAGCAGGAGATTCGGAAGGAAAGGCCCATGCGGCACAGACTCACGAAAGCCGCCGTCACGGTTCAGAGCAGTATGGAGAATAATCCATGCCAGGAAAGCCTGAAGAAAACAGGCATGTTCAGCTGGAGAAGAGAAGACTGGGAAGCCACCCGCGCACTCACCTCTGCCGTCATCTTGGCAATGAGGCTGGGGGGAATGGCCCCGCACAACACATTCCGGCGCAGGCCAGGATTCTTGGGGTCCTTCAAGTTGCTAAGCCGGCTCCTCACCCGGTTCCGGTACTTCATATCCGTGCCCTTCAGCTCCTGGTAGATATGTGGCAGCTTGATCAAGGACCGACTTTTGAATGAAGGGGGGGCTGTCGCATGACTGGGGGGGAGGAAGGTGTGCCTGGGTGCAGAAGGGGCCTGGATTCGTCCCCAGCATCTCTTGGAGGGAAGGGAAGGACCCCCGGAAGCAGGTGATGCACCTGCATCTCTTGGAGGGAAGGGAAGGACCCCCGGAAGCAGGTGATGCACCTGCATCTCTTGGAGGGAAGGGAAGGACCCCCGGAAGCAGGTAAAGCCATGTTCACCTGGACCTCCAGCTATGTCAGACCACAACTCCTATCACTTGACACAGCACAGCCAGGCACGTTGCCCTTTGTTTTGTTTTTTTAAAGCAGACAAAAATCTCTCTTTGTTTTTCCTGGCAGCCTTCTCTGACGTGCACCTTTTTGTGCGCGACTCTCCCTCCAATCTGCATTTTTGTGCACCATTTTGGAGCTAAGAACCTCATTGCACAATAGGGGAAAGCGCACCCCCCAAAGAGTAACCGTGCTCCAAACAGCACATCAGATGGAAGACGTGTGCACCAAGCACATCTCCCCTTTTCCTAATTTTCACTGCCTTGAGTTTTGCTCTGGGAATTCTGGTTCTACCACTCCCGGCCAGCCAAAAGGACCACAGGACCGGGAATATGCAGCTTTTGGATGCTGTTGGAGGGCAACTCCCATCATCCTTCACCACTGACTCTGCTGCCTAGAGACGGGAAATGGGCGCTGCAGTTGAACAACATCTGGGAGATCCCCCATCACCCCACAATCCGTACTGTCCAAAGGATATGATCTTCAATTTCAGCTGCCATCTTGTCACAATTGACTCCAAACTGCTTGTAATAATCTAAGGAGCGAAAGATGAAGGGGGTGGGGGGCAGATCAGGTTATCAAGCAGGAAATCTGGGTCCAGTTAGGCATTCATCCACTGAAAGACGTGCTTATTTCTTTGCATAATTTGCAAAGAATTACCACTTTTTAGTGCATTAACCTAGATTCAAACCAGCTTATAAGTTTTGCTCAAGAAACAAACAATCAAGTCGTACATTAAAAGGAAAGAAGTATCAGAAATAACCAACTAAGAGAACATTACGCATGCACGTAATGTAAGGCTGAGTTTACCCAAAGGGTGTCACTAAAACATCATGGCATTTCTTGTTTTATTACCGCTACTACTGATAGTAATATAGAAATGAGTAAGAGCAACTATGTACACCATTCTGAGAGCGCCGTGCTAACAAACGGCATGCAAATGCCTTAATGACCAAACAAATAAACTGCCACATGAGGAATGATAATGAAAATAATATTTTGTGTTTATATAGCACCATCAGCGTTCAAAGAACGCAGGTCCATGGCCCAGTGAATTTACAGGCTCAATTCCAACATGAGGAAAACGGCAGGAAAAACTGAACAGAGGAACAACGCTAGGAGAAAACATGCTATTTTTCTCCAGTTATGTGTACTTTGCAGACTTAGCTACAGTTGGTCATGGGAAATTGAGGGCCATGTTAGCTGAGGCTGATGGGAGTCGCAGTCTAATTCATCGGGCAGGGGAGGATAGGTTGGAAGAGGTTGGCCTGTTAGACTGTTATGCCAAAGAAGGGACCAGCCCCTTCTTGGCAGCGGCTGCAGCCGCAGAGCTAATTCATGAGGCCAAACTGTAGCATCAGCATCACGGCAATCTAAAAATTATACACCAAGAAAATTATCCTAATAAAAACCATACTATGCAAATCAGAACTGTGTTGCTAATTTATTTTAGTAAAGCCATTTAATATGCAGCACAATTCACTCTGACTAGATTATGAATATCTGGTGCCTTTTCCTGCACCCAAACTTTCACTGAGAAAAGCTCCCAAGCGGCAGATGTTTTTTTTGGGGGGGTGGGTGTCACTCACCATCTACTTTCAGAGCCGCAGAGATCATCTCGATGCATTTGTCCCGGATGGAGTCCCCGGTCAGGTAGCAGGATGCCAAGAAGCAGTTGGAAGGTGCAAATGTCGGAGTGACGGGGCTGGTGGGCGTCTTGGGTGTCTCCGGTCGAGGTTTGCTGATTGACCTGAACAGCACAGCAAGCGACAGATCATGGCCCGGGGGCAGATAACAAAGTGGTGACCTTCCCTGCCCAAGACCTTTTGCCGCTGCCAGGAGGGTAGTGACAGATGGGTCCCTTGCTCCGGAAAACTCAAGGGACGCAAGGCTAAGCAAACTATGCCGGCACCTGAGACAAGGAATCCCCCAGACTCCACTTCCTCTCCGTGTTGGCAGCGCACATGTTGAGAGTTAAAATGCACAAGCATTTGCACAACATCATCTGCTAGACTCACCGCCTCACAGCTTAATGCAGTTAAAGTTGTGGCGATATCATTAGCTTAGATGGCTTGGAGAAAGGACTAGCCACATTAGTAGAGGATGAGACTAAGACGTCTGCTTGTGAGTGACATAAATAAATGCATACATTTCTGCATAAATTGGCAAAAAACCTAAACCTTGTAAATCGAGAAAAGTATTGTAGGGAGCCTCAGCTGTAGGGCAGTATAGAAATTAAACAAACAAACAAACAATGCACAGTATTGTTCATGTCTGGCTTGAGGGCTTCTAAGGGACCTCCTGTTGGCCATTGTGGGAAACTGGAGGATGACCTAGGTAAGCCTTCAGTTTGATCCTGTTGGATTTCCCTGCAGTTCTTCAGCCTCGGACTAACAGGGACTCCCTGTGACAGCTCTTGCGTGGTTCATCTTTCTCTTGCGCCCTCCATCCCATACCTCTCCTCTTTGCCATCAGCAGAGCTTTTCCGGGAGCCCGTAGACGTGGCTGCACTGGAGCCTGTGGAAGCTGCCCTGGAGGGGAGACAAGCAGACACCGTGATCCCAGTGCCGAAACACCAACACCAGGACAAGAACGGTGGCGGCACGGGGCAGATGGCATGTTTCCATCCGGTTTTGATTTCTATTATTATTATTATTATTATTATTATTATTATTATTATTATTATTATTATAACATTTCTATGCCGCCCCTTGCCGAAGCCTCGGGGCGGCTTACAACACATAATAACAAATTATAATAAAAAGCACTTCAACTTCAGGAAAAGCATGAGGTCCCTCAAACGACACATGACGGGTGGCGAGAGGAACACTGCAAAGCAGTGCCCTGGTGAAGCTTCCCGTCCAGGGGATGTGGAAGGATCTCAGATCCAGTTCTTAGCCAGGACTGTCCTGCCCTGCCTAGGACCCCTCAAGGAGGTCTTGGACCGTAACTGGAGCATCGGTTGGCACTCAGAGGTTTTCGTTCAGGCCTTCTCAGCAGCTCTTGCTTAGACGTGGAGGTAGCTAAGAAGCCACTTCCTCGAGTGGAAGTGGACTGCCAGCCTGGCCACTGAAAGGGACCCTTCCATGCGCAAAACAGCACCACCCACACATAATGAGGAGGTACAGGCAAGCTCAGGGGAACCCCGACATTTGCAAAAATACAGCAGCTTCTGTTGGGAGGGGGTGTTCCCAAGACAGCTCAGGGGGTTCACACAGGATGTGTGGGGCTCAATCGGATGCTTCCTACTGCCCCCCACCAATGGATTTATCTGCATGCGTAGCAACAGGAAAAAGCAGCCTTCTTTTAAAAAGCCCAAAGTGTAACTTGTCAGCAAATTTTGACAATGCCACAGAAGTATAAAGGCTACTCTGAAGTACAAATTTCAACATCAAATCCTACTTTCTCTTCTAAAAGCAAACTGTTTTTCATCGCTGCCTTCACCACACCACCAAATTTTGGCTGCCAAGAGAGAGTGGATGGAACGCAGTCTCTCAGCCCCGGAAAATCAGCACCTTTGCCTTAAGGAATTTGAATTCTCTCTTTCTGAACTAAGATAGTGAGACAACTCCTCTTGGGTTTGCCAGACTGGCTTTGGTGTGAGTCCCCCAACCGTCCTGCTAGGTGTGACAAGCGCAACAGACGTTCTCACTTACCTGTCCGCTGACGGTCTCTTGGGAGAGGAAGCAGATGAGGAAGCAGAAGCAGCAGTGGAGACGGAAGACCGGGAGTCCTCTGAGTTCCTCCTTCATCCGAGAAGAGAAAGGATGCGAGTCACAAAAAGGGGCACGGATGCCCAACTTTTATCTGGAACGTCACAGGCTGTTGGAGGCCAGGTCTGATGCTTTGATGCATCTGATCCTTGCCATGGCCGGCAGCAGCTCTCTGGCATTACCAGAGCTCCCGCCCATCACCTGCCCTGGAATATGGCTGGCTCTGCCATTAGGTAGAGTGAGATGTGGTGGGGCAGGAAGGGGCACCAATGTGCTGGAGGACTGGGCCATGTGAGCTGTCCTGTACCACACCCCACACCCCTGCATACGGTGGAGGACACGGTCCTACCATCAGTTTTGGAGGGAGAGTCTTCCATTCATTCGCCTTCTGCATGTGGAGCAGGGAGTGGGGCACGGCCTCGTTCTCCGCTTCAGGCAACAGACTGCCTTGCAAGGGGCCTGCCCTGTCTCTCTCCTGCCAAGAACGAGCATGGGCCCGTCGACAGCAAACCATGTGCCCTCTGCCCACCAGGCCATGCAGGACCGGCACCAAGGCTCAATGGGGAGGACAGGGGAGGTGCCCATGACTGAAGGAGGACTCAAGTTGTTCCTAACTTCAAGAAAGGGGGAAAAAGAAGAATCTGGGAAATACAGACCAGTCAGCCCAACCTCAATCCCCGGGAAAATTCTGGAGCAGATCCCAAAGCTGTCATCCTGCAAACTCCTTGGAAACAGGTAACCAAGGCGCAGCTGGACAGCCTCTCTCAGGGATGCCCGCACTGAGCAGGAGGTTGCATCCACTGCCCTCCCGGCATTACTGCTCTGCGCTTGCAGGATGCGAAGCCCGCTCAGTCTGATGAGGCTCAGGGCATTCCCCAAAGCAGAAGGCCTCTGCCACGTGTCCAACGGCTGGTGAACAGGCCGCAGGGACGCTCGGACTGACTCACGCTTTGGCAAGTGACACAGAAAAATGGAGGGCTGTTTTCAGAGGCACTGGAGGGGAAAGTGAGACTGAGCAGGGTCGGCGGCATCACAGCCCGGCGCCCCTCCGAGCCCAGGGAAAGGAGGCCATGAGAACTGCACTTGCCTGCTTCAGCACAAGAGGCCCACTTTTGTGATAAGAAACATGGAGGGGCTGCACCCAGGCGGGAGCTGCGCAGGCAGCAAATTCTGAGGCCGCCCAAGTGTCTTCCATTGCAGACAACACTCTTAAAGGGTTTCCAGAGGAAAGACCCTTCGGGCTAAAGGCCTCCCCTATTTGAAGGGCTCTCCGTTCCAAGCCTAGTTTAAAGAGAGAGCCCCACTGGAAGGAAGGGGAGGGGGCTCAAAGCCGGGCAAGTTGCTCCCTGCTGTCTGGCCAGCGGACAAGCAAGGATGACCGCCAGCCCTTGCACATCCACCAGTCCAAGCCAGGAGATGCTCAGGCCTTTCCAGGTATCCTTGGGACCAAGACATGAGGCAGAGAAACTGACACCTTCAGCTCTGCCCCAAGCCCAAGAGCAGCAAAATAAAGGCAGAAGACCCTGAACTCTGTGCTAAGGCCTGACCTGGAAACAAAGCACACACAGTGAACTTGACGTACACTGAGGAAGATGGAAAACCAGAGATGTCTCTTTTAGCCCTATCTTAAACCCAGGCTACCACTTAAACAATGGAAAACTCCTTTAACGCATTCTCCAAGCTAGCATTAAAAAACCTAATCTATCCTCTCTGTAAGAAAGGTTCTTCTGCCAAAATAGGGCTTCTAACAAGATTCCAAGCTTGCATAGGAAGATTAAAGAGCATCACACCTTCCTGGTGCAGGGCAGATGAAGAACACCTAGCTGTGCTCACCCTACCCCCAAAAAACTCCAAAAGCCCCACCAAGCCCTTTAACCAGTGTGAGGTGCAATTCCAAAGCCAATCGCTGTCAGGCAGGATTGAGGATGTCCTCAGCTTCCAGCAGGGAAGGAGGGCATAGAAGACTCTGGCTGCAGCCCAGCGGAAATCAGCCGGCTAATTTTTGGCAGGGACCGGCTCAGACTCTGAAGGGCTGGAGAATAGCAGTCATTACGATAAGGCCTGCAGGCAGTGATAAGGGGTGCCTGCCACCCCCTCCTTTCAAAATAGAGCCCAGCTAACAGCAAACAGCTAGTTAACACCAAGGTTCAATTTGGATGCCAGGAAGCACTTCCTGACAGTTAGGACCCCCAGGGTATGGAAGGGGCTTCCACGGAGGTGGCTGAAGCCCCATCGGTGAGGGTGTCTAGGCCAATTTCTTCTCAAACACAGCCAAGAGACAGCCAACAGCACCTAGCGAATTCATAGCCACAGAGGCATCTGAAAGCAGGTCCAAATTTAATGCTATCCAGTGTCTGCAATGTTTCCTGTTCGGCTGGGAAACTGGAACCAACACCTAAAACATGCAATCATATGAAGGCAGAATTGCCTCCCCATCATCACAAAAACTTTTAAGAAAGAAATGACAGCATAACATCGTACTGTTTTCATGCACATCATATCTGTTTTTGCCCTAGTTACTCTTCCCATTGAAAAAAAACCTGTACCTGTCTGGCTTGGAAACCGTGGAGGAGCAATTCTTTGGCACAGCCTCTGGAGATGAAGACTTGCTCGGTTTCCTGAAAGCAAGAAGCGTCAGCGAGGTCAACGGTCAGCTTGCACTTTTCAAATTCTCCCTTCGCTGTACCAAAAGATACTGCATTGCCCTTAAACTAATAAATTGGCATCTCCCTCCAGATACTTGAGAAGCAGGATGAACGGAGAAGGAAGCAGGACTGCAGCCTGTCATTTTCCTTCCTTCTTCAAGTTGCAATAGCTCATCATCTTTACACGCCCCAGGCAAGGTTCAACACGGATTATACTATTTGTCTGAGTGTAAAGGGGAACACAAGCTGGTTCCCAGTCATGAATGTAATGCGGTGCTTTAAGAGATGCTGGGCTGGGGGAGGCTGGCATAAGGGAGCCAGCAACAAACATGCTCATAGTTTTAATTTAAAAGAATAGATTCTTTTACGCCTGAGAACCAAACTGCAACTGTTCAGAAGTTAGATTCCTTCTTTGATATTGAAGCTGCTTTCTTGTGTGAGATGACCAGTCAGAATCTCGAACTTTTCCTTTTCTAACAAGAGATGAATAGAAGATCCTATTTTCATATTTTTAAAATGTTCTGATACTTGTATTTTATTGGGAAATCTACATTGGTCTCAGTAAAAGAAAAGTGGGTGCAAAGATTCCTGCACTATAATTACTGCTAGTAGAAAACCTAAACTAACTCACCAAACGATTCTAAGTGCACAATTCATTGAGAAGTGCTTTTAATCTGTTATGGGCAACTCACAAGCTGTCAAAGGCTACCGGAATACTCAATTCTCACTGGAGCTAAGTAAAACCAGAATGCAGACCCATTCCAGAATCAGGCCACTGCTGGCCATTTGGAGCACAATGGATCCACTGGCTAGGAAAGCTAGTACGTTCTCAGCAGCAACGTATGCTTGACTTCAAAGAGCTATCCTAAAAAAGACGGATTTTTCTGAAAGCAGAGGTCCTGATCCAGGACAAAAGCTGCATCTCTCTTTGTGCTATAGATCCGGAGGTGTGAACGGCCTGAATGCGGCAAATACCGGTCTTTTGGCTTCCCATCGGGACTTTTGCATGGATTTGCCGAATGGGAATCTGTATCTTCAGCTTTCCAGCTAGGGATTTCAATCTCTTTGTCTCTCTGTTTCTCCTTTTTACTCTTCTGGGTCCCTGATGACTCTGAAAATGAGAAAAAATAGGCCACCCAGCTACTGTTATAGGTACCAATTGATTGTGTGGTTAAAAAAAAAAAAATCAAAGGACAGGACAGACACAATAAAACAGCACGAGTCAATACAAAATTTAAAAAGAGAATTTAAAAACAACTTGAGTTAAATACAATCAATACAGTCAATAAATAGACAGCTTCAAACAAACACCCAGGTACCATTCAAAGTCTCTGTAAAGAAGACTGTCTTAACTTGGCTCTGGAAAAATAAGAGGGTCTGTACCAGGGAGGCCTCAGACAGGAGCTGCTTCCACAACTTGCTGGGAGTTGGCCAGAATTAAACATTTTGAGGTCTCTCCTGCTTTGAGATCTTTGCCAGCTTTATGAGCAGCTCTATTCTGAGTGAATCCTACAAAGGCTTTTGCTTCTGTCATTCATGTACATCTGGAATTTAAACAGTTAAATAAGTTTCTAGTCCCCATGAATGAAGAAATAGGCTTGTAGACAGGACGACGACGGTGCTTTTGAAATGATAAAATCAACCTCCTGGACCCTGTTCCTCTCTTAATTCTTGTGGTTTTGTAGGTTTGCAGCATGTTTTGAACCATTTCTCAAGCATTGTGGGGTGGCAACTTATGAATTGTCCAAAAAGAGGAAGTGCAAGATCAAAAGGGAAGGCAAACGGTTAGGGGAATCCCACTTGGCACAACGTGTGCATGTGCTAGTTTATACATTTAGGTGCCAATTTGAAAATAATTGTTATAATATAAACAAGACTGTAGTCCACAGTGAGGAGGGCCGGGACCAGGAGCCCTGTGTGCCTGCCTGCTCGGCTTGCCGATCAGGCACTCCCTGTGGACAGGCAGCATTCTTAGAGTTTTTTGCTGCTGCTGTTTGTTTCTTAACTTTAATTAGAATTGGATGGGGCAGCTCTTTCAGGCTGTCCTCTGTCAGTGAGGACGCATGACCCCTAAGGCAAGTGGGACGACAAGCATGAAAGTGTCCGCTGGACAATTCGAAACAAAGAACGTGCCGTAGCGGAGACACGGGTGGAGGCGGAGAACCCAGTGTAGACCATGGGAGAGCAGAGGGTTAAATCCCCCCATTCCCCCCCCCGATGTGGTCCAGATCCAGATGTCCATAGTTCCCTATTTATAAATACAAGGATGATCGTGTACTTACCAAGTGCAAGCTTATTAGCATATCTAATTTGACCTTTAACTAAGTAGGACTTGCAGGTCACTATTCTCTCTCTCTCTCTCTCTCTCTCTCTCTCTCTCTCTCTCTTTACACACACACACACACACACACACACAGAGAGAGAGAGACAGAGACAGAGACAGAGAACAAGAACGGGCATCTATCCATTCCATAGTAAAAAGGGGAGGTCAGCAACTAAGTGGAAAACGAAGATAATCTATCTATGTGTAGACAGATATCCTTTTGGATCACCAGGCACTAGAAAGTGTTTCCTTGTTTACTTATTGGCTTTTTATCCCACTGCATTACCTGATAAGGCTCCCTGAGCAACTTTGTATTACAACACTCAAACAACTGATCTTTGCTTTTGTCAAAATAAACTGAAGAATTAAGCCACAAACACACTAAACAATAAGAGGCTGCAAAGATGCTCTCCAACTGAACATGTGGATTAATAGAGCAGTGGAAAAAACTATCAGCCTTAGCCAACCATGTTCTGCCAGGAGTTTCAACAATAGCACTCGGCTGACACATCATTTTTTAATAAATGCATTTCATTTATATCCTGTCTTTCCTCCAGGGATCCACAAGCTTTCCCAATTTTATCCTCACAATAACCCTATGTGGTAAATGAGGCTGAGAGTCAGTGACCAGCCTGAAGTGAGCTTCATGGCTGAGTGGGGGCTGGAAAGAGACCTCCTGCATCCCAATCAAGCATCCTATACTACTTCTCATTAACTCCTATTGATTCGTATCTGTGCCTAAACTCCTCAGCACTTCTTAGTGCTGCAATCAACAAAAAAAGGCCATGCTAGTGGCTGCATCATGTTACTTAAGTGGTATGGAAACTTTCTCACTTGGGTTGTGCTTGGCAGGGTACTAGTCCTCAGCGTCTCAGTAGGGCAGTGCTCTGGGTCCTCTACCCATTTCCCGCTGTGGGAGGACAAAGTTGCGTCTGCTCCACACTCTCAATTAGCCAGCTGTCCTCAGGTGTGGTCCTGAAGCGGTCAGGTAAGACTGAGGTGCCCATCTAGTCAGCTCTGTCTATGGAAAGACTGGGGCAGGGATGGGGAATTGCCACCTTGCAAAAGTTCTCAGGCCTTCCCTGGTTTCTGCACAGCTACTTAGGGGTGCAGGTGCCCTGTCCTCTTGGCATTTGTCTGCCCCACCCCACCCCACCCCACCCCCTCCTAATGATCATCGGGAAGAGCCTTCCTTACCTATGAACTCCCCCCGATAAACTCAAGTGCAGCATTTGCCAGTCGCTTACCCAACAGCCTCTTCCAGTTCTTGATGAGGATTTTCGCCAAGGCTACCACCTCCTCATCCGAGCAGTGTTTGCGGATCGCATTGACAGCCACACCAATTCTTGTAGTCTGAGAGGCGGAGGAAAGGATTCAGCGATTAATGCAACAGCTCAAGGGGAGAGGCAAGCTTTCACGAGCAGGAATTTGCCGCCTTGGTACCGCTAATGTTGGTACCGCTAATCTAGTGTTGTAAGCCGCCCCGAGGCTTCGGCAAATGGGGCGGCATAAAAATGTTTTAATAAATAAATAAATAAATAATGAAAAAACGGTATAGGGAAGCCCCTTGCCTACCTGGGACTAGTAAAAGGGGGCAGAAATTTAACATGCAGGGGCCGAATTCACACTTCCCAAATAAAGAACCAAAGCAGAACACCCCGTCACCTTTTGGGTTTTTGCAATCCTCTGGACCGGTTTGTCAGCCATGCAGAGAAGTGTGCAGGAAGAAAAGCAGCATGCAAAAAAAGCACAGATTTGAGGCAAAAGCGCTTGCAAAAGCCTCATCAATCAGGGGAAATTAAAAGTGCACGTGACCGTTCATGCATGTGAAAAGGCATATACATTCTCCTTGTTTTTCAGAGTTCCGCAAACTGACGTGGAAGCAGAGTGGCCTGGGAAAGAGAGAGAGAGAGAGAGACTCTCTCTTCCCTCCTTCCCTCCCTCCCTCCCTGAGACTGTGAAGAGCTAGTGAGAGAGAAGGATGCTGGGCTATGTGGTCAGATCATCTGGCCTGCTCCGTGGCAGCCAGGTTGCTCCCCTGTGCCTGCATTTGGTGAGAGAGGCGGCGGCGCAGCAGGAGAGCTCCACCAAACCCTCTGCCTGTGGGGCACTCGTTGCAGGGAGAGGGCGGCTGGCAGGACTACCTCCACCCTCCCATCACGCCCGCCCCCCCCCACACACACATTTCATTTTTATTGTGCTGACACTCTCTGGGCAGTTAACAAATGATACAAAGTAAAAAATGCAAAATTTCGAACACATACACAAATGCATAGAGGAATTGCAACTGAATCAGCATAAACACATAGCAGAGATACAGAATAAACGGCAATATTAATGCATGAAGTTAAAAAGTGAACCTGCTAAAGTGCTGGGAGAAAAAAAAGGTCTCCATTTGGGGCTGAAAAGAATACAAGCAGGGAGCCCATTCCCCAACCAGGTGCTACAGCTGGAAAGGCGCTCCTCCTGCTGGCGACCCGCCTCACTTCTTTTGGAAAGGGCTCCCAGAGAAGGACCCTGGAGAAGACCTCGCGATCCAGGTGGGCACATACGGGACAAGGCAATCCTTCAGATAACGAAATGAGGGGAGGGGGGAGTTGGCAAGGAAAGGGGCCTTCTCTGTTGTCGCGCCTCACCTTTGGCATTCCCTTCCAAGGGAGGTACAACGGGCACCCTCTTTATCTTGCTTTAGGCACCAAGTCAAGACTTTTTAATTATTTGTTTTTAGATTGGACTTCATTTGCTGCTGGCGTGTTGTTTCATGGCTGTTATTGGTCTGTTGTGTTTATTTCCTCCTGTTCTATGTATTTGTTGTATTTATATTCTATTTTTATCCTGTTTGTTTATGGGTTTCGTTCGCTGTTGTTTTTAGTTTTATTTGTGTTTCATATTCTATTTGTAGTTTTCAGTTTTATTTGCATTTCAGAGAGCCTTTGGCCATGGGGCAGCATTCAAATGCAATCAATCAATCAATCAATAAATAAATAACCTGGTCCCAAGCGAGGCTAGAGCTTTGACTGTTAGTATTAGCACTTTGAATGAAGCCTGGATTTCAATGGGCAGCCAGTGCAGCAGAGAGGGGACTGGTTTAACGGACACCCATGAGCTAGTTCTCATTAGCAGACTTCCTGCCCTGTTTTGGATCAGCTGAAGCTGCAGCACCGTTTTCAAAAGCAGCCCTGCAGACGCTACGCTGCAGTGATCTGCAGTTCCTCAAGCTGGATCGCTACCGGGTGAGCCTCTCTCTGCCCCAGGAGGGCTGTGGTGGCGGCTCAGCTTGCGCTCCGTGCTGGCAAGTGTACTTGCGCCTCACAAGGAGTGGCAACGCCGGGCCCCGAACCGCGTCAGCCTGCCTGCGGCCGTGGGTCCCACAGGAGCTCAGCCAGGCCTGCAAGAGGCCTGCAGCCGGCTGCACGGCACCAGTGTGTGTCCACCCGGGCAGCCAGATATCCTGAGCGTGAATACGCAGCCGCTCCTTAGCGTTCTATTGGCCAAACGCAACGTGACACCCAAGGCATCGCCTGAGACGCGACCTTTTTTTTCACTGTTGCTTTTTATGGATGCTTTCATGTTCTGTTTCAAAGGCACGTTATGCTCTGCTGCTAACAAGATAACTAGGGATTGCCTGGGTGTAGGTACAAGTGTCAGAGTAAGACTCCAAAGGCCCGTGTGCAGATCGCTCCTGAACCCTGAAGGGATTCAGGGTGGCCCTTCACCAGGGTGGCCCTTCACCCTTCATCCCTCACCAGGGTGGCCCAGGGGAGCGACTCTCCCTCCATTCAACCTCTTGGCTTGTTGAGAGGCTGAACTAAGGGGCTATGACTGGGTTCAGACAACAGGATAACCCATTCTCCAGGGTTAAGTTGGGTTGCCACGGAACAGCATATTTATGTGGGAAATGTGGGTTATTGTATTGCCTGAAGCCAACTGTACTAACAAATCTTGGTTGGTTAACGAAAAACCACCACAGTTCACAACATATTAATAAGCCACTGGGTCCCCTCATGGATTAATGTGATTGATCAACCATGGTTTGTTAGCACAGATGGATTCAGACAACACAATAATACACTATTTAACAACCACCACCTTTCAACCCATACACAGCCCTTGAGACTGTTATATTATCGGACTCGCAACCTGTGTGTACTTTCTTGAACTTCTTGGAGGGAGTGTGAGATAATGAAGTAATTAAAGATCACCCAGATGTTTCCAGATCCTCAGTGATGCCTTACCTGCAGCAGCTGGATGGTCATTGTAAAGTTGTTAAGTTTCTTCAGCAGGTCAAGAGCTCCTTCCTAGGGAGGGAGGAAAAAAGAAACCCCACAGGCCATGCTGACATACCTTACACACAAATACCCTTTTATCTCATGCAAGGAATTCTATGGGATTGAGGGATGGGTTTCAGGGAACATTCCTTGAAGCACTTCCGCAATCCCCCTGAGCTTGAGGAGTCCTCTCCTTTGCATATGGGTGATATTGTTTGGCTAAATAAGCAGCTAGGGTGAAGCAGGGGATGGGGACATGTGTGAAATGCAAAGTCTTATAATGCTGGCCATTAAAAACGTGTGTGGGCTAACAACGATTCCTGTATTTGTCGGGCTGATCTGTGCTGTGCGTCCTAAGACAGAGAACTCCTATTCCATGTCGCCTCTTTCTATCCTCCACTCAAAATCTAAAATGACGAACAGAAGAACTTGGACTTCTAGCAAACCTGAGTTCGAGCTGCTTAGTGACATGGTTCACTCTACCAGCTTGGCTCAGGCCTTAGAGGAGGGAAACCTCCCATTTCCTGCTTGCTGCTCTGCCTGCAACTCCAGAACCTTTCCACTGCTGGACAAACACTGGCCTTCAAGCTGTACACACGGAGGACTAAAGGCAGTCGAGGAGGAGGCAGAGGGGGAGGAGTTATTCATAGTCCAGGTATGCTGGAACAAAGTTTGCAAGGGGAGTCAAACATTAACTTCAAGTTGCAATCTTACTCCAGGTTGCACAGATCTGCTCAGTTCTTGCAATACTCATGTTCATGGGCAAGACTTTCAATCTGCAAGAAGAGTCACGGCTCAAATGAAGCAGAAGAGCAAAACATATCCATTCATATCCACCAGCTCTAAATGTGGCCAGAGGAAATGTCCAAGGCTGGGCAAAAGCTATTTTTCCCTTTATCCTGACTTTTTTATCTATCGTTTTGTTTTGCTTTGAGCAAAGGCAACTGACCCACCAGGTGAATCGTCCTTCCACACAGGCATGGGAAGAGCACACCTGAAGGTGACAAACCAGCTGAAGAGCACAGGTAGGCTGCCTGGCACGCAGCTCTCTTCTCCCACACTTTGCTCCAGCCTCCCGGCATATGCAAGAATGAGGCCGCTGCACTCTGTGTAATGTAGGGCTGGCCCTGGTACACGCAGTGGAAGCAATCTCGCAATACATCCAGGTTCCTTCTTGGATCTGCCATATTTCACAGGGAGAATCAGTCTTTGCTAGTCTAGGGGTGAGGAAATACTGCCTTCAAGATACGATTGGGCTCCTGTTTCCATCAGCCCCAGCAGGCTTGGCCAGCATCAGAGACGAGGAGAACTAGAATCCAACAAAACCTGGAGAATGACAGGTTCATAACCTTCTTCCACTCCCTGTATCCTGTTTACCTGCAATGCAGCCGGGGGGGGGGGGGGGGCTTTTTAGCATCCACTAACTTCCTTTGCAATGCAGGCATCTTCAGACAGATGGATGCCTTCCAACATTGCCATTCAAAAGGTGTTGATTCTGCAGCCACCCCATCTTTTCCTCACCAACAGATTTATTTTTAAGTGAGAGAGAAAAAAGACAGAATCAGTAGTGGAAAAACATGGGAAGGCGCTCCTGTAAAATTCCATCAATGAAGCAGAGAGATTGTGCAATAAAAGCTAAATCTGGAAGCGCCTGGGTTAGGGACCCAGCCACACGTGAAAGAGGCTGGTGTTCCTCCACATTGATAGTCGTGCAAAAGCTGTGCAGCGACTGTGCAAAAGAAGCATCGCTTTCAGCAGGCTGGCTGATCCCTCTTCTGCATCTGGCCGACTTAGGTGCCAGTAATCTAAGCCGCTGAACATTGCCGTCGGTTTACTTACTGGGCCAGCTTCAGAAGGCAATGCCAGAGAGCAACCAAACATTCAGGGTAAATAAATACCTGCCGGAAGGTTTCCAACTTTTCAACCATGCCTTTCCGAGCACCAGCAACCATTTAACACCATGCTGTCATCAAGACACCGTTAAAGGCACAGTGCTAGCTAAAAAACTGACTGCTCTACAAGAGCAGGCACAGCTGAGCTTCCAGAACAGAAAGGCAACTTGTGGCCCTCCATATGTTGCTGGACTGCAACTCCCATCATGCCTCACCACGGGCCATGCTGGCAGGGACAAAGGAAAATGGGCAGCCCAGCCCTCCTTTAGTACTTTACAATACTGGAGAGCAAGGTGTGTTTGTGTGTGTGTGTGTGAGAGAAAGAAAGAGAGAGAGCGAGCGTGAGCATATCCTTCAATGAAAAGTGTTAAAAGTTTTCCTGCATTGATCTGTGAAATCAGATCAATGGATTGTCCTGGAGGACTAGTCTGTGCATTGCTGAGGCAAGCAAAATGCATCCCTTCCTGTGTGTTCAGTTGCAAATTTCGAAATAGTTACTCCAATCTGAATGCAAATCCAATAGCTAGCATAGTGCAGGTGTGTATGAATGTGGGACTGGGAGGCTAGATATCCAGGTTTAAATCCCCACTCAGCTATGATGCTCTCTGGGTGACTTTGGCCCAGTCACTGACTCTCTGCCTAACCTACCTCACAGGGTTGTTCTGAGGATAAAAGGGAAAGGAGGAGAGCAAGCGTGCAAGTCAACCCATGTTCCCCTAAAAAGAGGAAAGATACATCTCAAATAATGATGCATCTCAAGGTGACTGCAACCAGGTAATCTGCAAGCTTGCTCGGTACAGGTGTGAACCGGCAATGAGCAATTCCAAGCCCCATGTTCCCTTCTGATCTTACTACTGGGCTTCACTCGACCACCCATCAAACAGAGTAAGGTTGGGCAACACCCAGCCTGCAGGCCACTGCACGCCTCTACCTGTGGTTGGCCTTGAATTTTGCCTCCACAGTACGTGAAAAGCACACAGAGATTTTGCAGGAAAACAGGACACCCAGGAAAGCAATGGCAAATTCTCCAGTAGAGGGGGGCAGCCCTCAGGAGCTCCATGGGCACAATGCCCCCCCCCCAAATTAGAGGAGGCCCTCAGAGAGAGGCCCTGTCGTCACCCCAGGGGCTCAGCCACACTCTTTCAACCCTGCCCCTTTTCTGCACGCAGTATTTTTACTTCTCCTGGCAGCAACCCATGATGCAAGTCACCAGGGTAAGATTAAATTTACACGACCAGGCTCTTGCCAAACACCTGTTCTCTGCATGCCCACTCCCCACATCCTCACAGGGGCTGGCGGCTCCGCGGACATGGCGGAGAGAACTGCAACAGAACGAAAACTGGAACTTAATATGCTCGCGGGAAGGGGAAAGAAACCGCAGGTGATGGGGTGGGGTGGGGGTAGGGGGAAGCGAACTCTTAAAGCAACCCTATTTCAGAATGCACTTTGGATCCGACCGGTCGCCCCCCGACGCTGGACCCCACACGTCTCGAATCGCTCGGCTGGAGTCCAACGCGACGGCTCTGCGGTGCCCCTGTTGCCTCTTTGCAAAATCTTTGCAGGGAAGCCACGAAAACTTCCACGACTGCAGTTTCCCTGAGCCAGGCTCCAAAAGGAAGCCGGGCTCGGGGCGCCAGCCCGGAGGGGGCTCGCCTCTCGGCCACTGGGCCCCCGTGCGCCCCCTCCCCGCTCCCTCCCCCCCCAAAGAAGCCCCGAGCCGAGCCGAGCCGAGCGGCCAGGCCAGCGAGAGACGGGACGCGCACGCTCCTCTTACCGCGCTCTTCCTGGACACCATCTTATCCAACTTTCTCGCGATCCGGATCAACTCTTCCGCCTGCCCCATGGCTCTGCTGCTCGGATCGACGCCCCCGTCCGCTCAGCCCGGAGTCAGCCGACGATTTCACCGAGAGCACCACCACATCGACGCCCCCCCCCCCGCCTGCCCCCAGCTCTGCTTTCCTTGCAGCGTGCGTGCTCGCCTGGGTGGTTTGTTGGCGGGGGTTCGGCTGCCGTGTTTTGTTTGGCTTTGCAAAAGAAGGGAAAAGTGCTTGTGGCGGTTGTTGCTTTAAAAAAGCGGGGGGGGGGGGTGGGTTGCACTTTCTGAAAGTTTGACAAGAAAGGAGGCGGACGACGCAGGAGAGCGAGGGAAGGGAAAGCCGGAAAACAAAAAGGAGGCGCGGCGAGGCGAGCCCTTATGAAGGGCTGCCCAGCCATGCCGTCAAAATAGCACCAGGGGGAGGGCTAAATATAGGCGTCCGGGATTAAGGGGTGGAAAAAGCACGGAGAGGAGGGGAGCAGCCCGGGGACTGCTCCCAGGTAGGGGCTGCCTCGGGCTCTGCTCAGAACCGCGGTGGGCTTGCTAAGCGGCCAGAACAGGAAGCCCCAGGCCTTTTCTCGCGGGTAGGAGAACAGACGGAGCTCCCTTCGTGGCGCCTTCAGGCTAGGACTTTAGGGTTGATGCCAGGGCCGTCCTCCGCAGGTGGAGCAAGGGGGCCTCTGAAACTCACTGCTGTTGTCATGTGCTGTCAACTTGTCTGTGGCTTGTGGTGACCCTTCGCATGAAGGCCCTCCAAGATGTCCTCTCCATTTGTCCGTGCAGCTACATGCAGCTCTGCCAAGTTCAAGGCTGTGGATTCAGTCCTCCTGATATTTGGCCTTCCCTTTTGTCTCCTGCCTTCGACTTTCCCTAACAGGATTGCCTTCTTCGGAGAGTTTTGCCTTCACAGGATGGGCCTCCGTTTTGGCATGTTCGCTTCTAGGGAAAGCTCCGGCTTGATTTGACCCAGGACCCACCTTCTTTCCCTGTAGGCCCAACGCTCTCCTCCAGGACCCTATTTCGAATGCATCAAGTTTCTTCCTACCAGCTTTCTGCACTGTCCAGCTTCCAAACCGACTCATTGCAGCCGGGAATACCATCGTCTGGATGATCCAGACCTTGTTCTCAGTGGTGCAGTGGCAGATTTAGTAGTGAGGGTCCCTTCATGATAGTAATACCCACACCTCAAAGCCACACCCCCATCAAAGCCAAACACCCCAAGTCCCACCCACTTCCAAACTTATGCAAAATTATGCACACTGTGAGCCGCCCAGAGAATCTTTGGCTATGGGGCGTCATACAAATGCCACAAATAAAACAAATAATGCAATCTAGGATTATATCATAAAAAAAAAAACCCAGAGAGGTCCGCCTGGCGCCGTCGTTGTTTTTCGGCGCCAGGCGAAGACCTTTTTATTTAAGCGGCATTTTAATTGTTAATATTATTGGATTTTATCTGGCCAGGGCGGCTTATTTTATGTTGGTATTTTTGTATTTTTAACTTAATGTTTATTTTTAATTTAATGTTATAATTATTTTTAACTTATTGTTGTAAGCCGCCCCGAGGCTTCGGCGATGGGGCAGCATAAAAATGTTTTAATAAATAAAATAAAATAAATAAAAATGAGCTCTTCCACTTTGCTTGAATATCTGTTGAGTAATGAATGCAAAATGAGTGTGCCTCTTTTTGAGGTGAAACAGTGACAGCTTCTAGAATAATAAATTACTTGTTATGAATGATTTTTAAAATTATATTCATACCCAGCTCTCCAGCCAAAAGGCTCCCAGAGTGGCTTCTGTGGAATTAATAAGACAGTTCCTGCCCACAGGCTTCCTATGCACAAACATGACATGGAAGGGGGAAAAGGCCAGTGAGGGGAGAGAGAAAGAGGAAACTCAGGCATTAAGTACCCACATGTATAGAAACAGAGGTAGTTGTATTCTCCCAAGATCAGCAGTCTAGACTTACAATCAGTTTGGTTTCTTTAAATTTTCTGTGTCCTTTGCAACTTTGTGTGTCCCTGTGCATGGGAGATGCTCCAAGAGTCCAGAGCTTCCCAGTTTTCAAAACCTCCAGTACTCCTTCGTCGTGCTCTCATTGGATCCACGCTGAATCATGCATAAAGTAGCCTAACCGAAATAAGAGGAACTTAAGGCTAGCAGAAGCAATGGCTAATTTTTCCCATTCCAGTGAATATACTCCAGTTACGATACTTTTATTCCACTTTAGCCATTATTTCTAACAAATAATTCCAGGGCTAGAAAACACCCACCCGCCTCACAGAGCCACAATGTCCAGAATGGTTGCTCAATCAGTTCCTCTTCCCCGGGAACTCTGCAAACTGGACTTCTCTGACTCCATCAATGACACCCAGTATCTTGACAAACTATGTCCCCCAAGATTTGAGGAAATAAGGACTGCTTAACGCAGGATAAAAATGGTCTAAATGGGTGGTGTGAATGCAGGAGGGTGGGAGGTAGTTTTTGGAACAGCAAAAGCCCGCTGAGCCCATGTTGCTGAAGAGCAGAGGCTGACCGTGAAGGAAAGTGTCACTGAAAACGCATGTGCATGCCAGATAGGGAGTTCCCAGGAACGGTTGGGAAGTGTCAGAGAAACACCCTTGTTCTTAACCCATTAAATTCAGAACTGGCACTGTGGCAAAATGAAGGCTCTTCGGAGGGCCAGTGGTCTTGGTTTCAGAAATCCAGCAATCGTGAGGGCCCCCAAATAAGTGGGGGTGCTCCAACTTCCCGAGGGCCCCCTCCACGACACCCTTGCTTGGTCTTCAGTAAAACATCCTTGTGCTTATGGATCTTTTCTACTTCCTTCATTGCTGCCCTTCCAAGTCTTGGTCTTCTTTGAATTTCTTGGCTGCAATTTCCCTTTGAATCAATGACTGAGCCAAACTGTGAAATCTTTCACAATTTCCATTTCCTCATTATTAAAAGTAAAGTTCTGTAATTTTTTTTTGTTTTCTTGATAGTCAGCTGCAGTCCTGCATTTGCATTTTCTTCTTTTGCTTTCAAATGACTTGTTTCAAGTCATTGCTGCTTTCTGCCAGTAGTGTCATCCACCTGTCTTAGTGATGTTTCTTCTGCCAATTTTCACCCCTTCCTCTGATTCTAATCCAGTTTTCCTTGCAAAATGTTCTGCAGGCAGATTGAACCATTGCTGAACTCAATGTATTTTAAGAGCTGCGTGTACAAGATTGGCACCACTGATTTCAATACAGCTTACTCCCAGGTAACTAGGTATAATTGCTTAGGTCCAAAGTAATGATGAGCTGGTTCAGCCAAGAAACCCTTCTTTTGCTGCCATCATGAGGACTGGGAGGTTGGTGGCTACCCTACTTGAGAGAGAGGTTTATGCCTAGATTAAGAGCTGAAGATCTTTCCTTATTAAACCAGCAAAGATGAAAATATTTAAGATGCATCCATGAGAGCAAAGCAAAACGGCAATAGCACTACTGCCACTTCATAGTAAAAACAAAACTTTATTAGAAACTCAGATACTGAAAGACAAAAGAAAAACATTTTTGGAGAACATCTTCAACATAAAATATCTCCCAACTTTTTTTCCTTAAAAACAAAAAATGCTATTTTTACAGAGAGCAGCAATCATGTGGTATTGGCCCATAAGAGATGGAGGAAATGGTCATCTAGACAAGCAAGTGTGGAACTCAAATCTTTGTTGCACCTTACACACACACACACACACACACACACACAGCGCCTTTCATTGAAGATAAACAACGTTCTTGCAAGTCTGCAAATCAAGTAAGTCCTGGGAGGCGCACGGTGGCTGGGTGGTGGCGCAAGAGATACAGCGGGAGGCACTTTTGCAAGAGAAAAACAAAAGCAGAGTCCCCAGCTCTGAGTGGGAAAATAGAATATCCTCATCAAAATGACATGTAAACAATTAAGCACACACTGAAATGAAGTGCTGTGGCAAACTCGGGACTTGCAGGGCATGGGCCAAAATTATTCTATCAGCAGGCACAAGGAGTCATCTGCTACAGTCACTCAGGCATCGATCAGGATTCCTTGCTCTTGAACATTTTCCTCATGCAAGGAAGCCAGAAGGACATACAAATATGTCCCAGCAGCCATAATCTTAGGGAAGACTTTTTTTTTTTGTCACACAGTAGGGGGTGCCAACTCTAGACAGCCTTTTAAAAAATCTGATGAAAAATTTAATCAACTGCTGTAACCAGTGAATGAGAGGCAGGGTTCACAGGGATGCCATGCCGGGGCTTCATTAGCAGGGAAGGTGCTGCTGGCGTCCATCGCCCAGCTTCTCAGACATTCGTGTATCCCCTGCACTTAGCTGTAAACCTCACAGATGCTAAAGGAAATGAATTTTCCAGCAACGATATTCTGTACCTCCTTGTTGTAATGCAAAGTATTTCAGGGTCGCTCGGTTCTGAATGAACAATTAAGTCCCCATAGCTTTATGACAGAGCTACTCCTGATGGAGATGAAGTCCTAGCACACTCACTCAGGGGGTCAACCCCATTGAACACAGCAGCACTTAAGTCCCAGGAAATCATAGTAGAGTTCAAAGGCGCCAGAAGGCCATTGGGTCCAACCCCCTGCTATTGCAGGACACCGAGTTAAGCCATCCCCCTCCTCCTAAATGCCTCTGTGTGGGAGCGCCCACCACCTACTGGGGTAACTGGTTTCAATCTCATACTGCTTGAACAAGATTGTTTTTCCCGATCTCTAGCTGGAATCTGGCTCCTTGTAACTTGAGCCCATTATTCCGTGCCCTGCACTGCGGGGTGATCGAGAATAGATCTTGTCCTTCCTCTTTCTGACAGCTTCTCAAGTACCTGTAGTGTGCCATCCCTCAGTCTTCTCCAGGCTAAAATAAGCAAAGTGGCTGGTCCTGAGATTATGCACCGGAGGGGGCAAAAAGGAGGGGAGGGGAGGGGAGGGGAGGGTATATTTTACTGGGAGAGCCAGAGAATGGCGAGGGGAGAGAACAGCCCAGACTACAACCCCATGACTATGTGAGAAAAGTGAGATCCTTCTTGAATATATTTCTGAAAACTGGTTCTGTATCTATGGACCTATTGTCCAGATCTTGTGACATTTGCTGGAGCCAAACCAGAAACAGGGCCAGCCCAGGACAGGTAACATTCTGAATGCCGAGGTGCTGGGCCAGACTATAAAGCAAGTTTGTTTCCCGACTTAAACTGGGATTTGGAGTTTGAGGGACAGATGGATTTGTGCTTCCCCATGTGATAACCTTCTCAAGAACCACCAGCCCCAGCGCATCATGTGCAGAGGTGGTGGGGGCTGCTGGAAAAAGCAAACCATCCTAATGGCAGCACTTATTCCAGGGACAGTGAGAGCCAGTGGTGCTGATGCTAGTTCAAAATATATACCAGCAGTGCTTTTTTTGTTAAAAAAAAAAAAGTGCCCGAACTCACGTCTTGGGGCCACACTTTTACACTAAAAAAGATTTTCAATTCACCGACTTTTTTTGAAATAAAGAACTTATTTACCTTTTGCATGGAGCCAGTCTCTCTACACACACATAAACATAATGGTCGCCCCCGGCAGTAAGCACTCAGCGCGCGACCACACGGCTGGTCCCAAGCCGAGCAGCGCCCCAAGCCGAGCAGCGCCCTCACAATCAGCGCGGACACACACACAGCCCGCATGCACTATTTTAATTGTTTTTGCCGCCGACCTGCTACGCCTAACAGGGCGATTCACAATCACTTGGAAAAATCCGTCAAAAGATGGTGCCGGAACGCCTTTCCGGTGCGTTCTATGACAAAAAAAGCCCCGTACACCAGACTGGTCCAGTCTCGCTCTCTTGCATGTACATGCACATACAAGGCTAGCTATAAATAGACACCAAGCAGCCTGAAACGTAATGAGCTTAAACAAAAAGCAGACAGACACCAACCGACCCGCCAGAGTTTCAGGACTGACGAGGCCTTGCTGGAGCCTGGCTCAAGAAATACCCTGACCAGGAACACCTCAAAAGTCCCAGCACAATCAGCAAAGTTTGTAGGACTTGTCTTCAAGTCTAAGGCTTTGTGTTCTCATAATAACAAGAGGAGAAGAGTTCAGGGGCATGCAAGCCAGAAAATCCCCCGTTTGTGGCAATGGTGTAATTCCAGGCATAATGTGTAATTCTATTTCGGAAAATAGAAACGTTTCTGTCCTGACTCGTGAGATGGTATGCATGGAGCTGGGCTGTTGTGCAGGCGAGGGAGGGGGTCTGCATACAAGTTTTTACTGGGCTCCCAAAAGATGCTCAGGCCCAAGACCCATTGAATGCAATCCACAATTCCTAAGTAAACATTAATAGGATTGTTCTGCACGTATTGCAGCTTTAGTATTTATGTATTTGCACATAAATCCCAACTAAGACGACACATTCATACATGTGATGCAGTCAGCTCTAGGCAAGGTTTCTGTTGCAGTCTTTGAAGATGCCACTAGGGTGTACCGTTTGTGTGTATTTGACAATCAGGGAGTTTTCCTTTCCCTGTTGGCCAGCTGCCAGGGTTTTTTTGTTGATTTAAGACAAGGAAACATCAAGTTGACAGAACATTTAGGCATCCCATTTTGTGCTAGTTAAAATTTCAACACCCTGCAAAATCTCACACCTACAAACATGGAAACAACAAATGTATCAAGTTTCTAGTCCTTAAGGCTGCACAGATATTCTTGCAAATGTGGGCAGTACCTGAAAAGCACTCAGAAGCTGAGGTGGAGGATCTGTACAAAATTTGCCCTCATATGGATTAGCCGAAACCAGCACTGCATGCAAAATGTGCTAATTTCTTTAAGGTTTATACAAGGTGGAGCTTGGATTTTCTCAGTACCAGATGCCGTCTTCAATGCCAGGTCACGCTGTGTCCTGCAAACATGTATCTTCCTTTCAACATATAAACAAGTTTTCCAATAACCCCTTCTAGTTATTGCCAGTATCACTATAATTCAAGTGTTTGGGCAGTGTTTTTTTTTCTTTTTTTTTTTAAGAAATTAGCAAGCCTGCCTTGCATGGACGGCTATTTTCTCCTCTATCTTGTGTCACTAAGTTCCACATATATGTTGTGCTTCTAACAAAGCAGAAGGATGTGGACACAGCAAGCGGCACTCTACCTGTGGCCGCCAGGTCCTTACTTTCTGGAGATGGAGGGGCAGGTCTGATTAAGTGCACAATCCTTACAGAGCGGCTGGCCTTTTCAAAACCCGTTCTATTCACGCTGCTGGAAATGTGCTTTGCTTTCCTGAAAGCGAGCGGCACCAGCAAGCAGCGGACCTGCGGAAACTCGATGCATTTGGTTCTGGTGGGTATCACTGCTCAGCAACAGACCCGAAAAGCAGCCTTTGCTTGTTTGTATCATGGAAGCCCTGCAAAATGGTTGCCCTACATCTCCCATCAACCCTCAGCTTTTGAGCAGGGGCTGATGGGGGGGGAGGTGCAGAGCAGAGTATCTGGAGGGTCACAGGTAGCTCACCTCTGGCTTAAATCACCTGACACCTGAGCCCGGCTGGGTGCTGTTTTGGAACAGACAGGGCGCTCATTACTCATCCTTCCCAGGGCTGGCTCCTGGTTTGTGGGGCTCCTTGGGCAAGACGCCCTGCATGGGATCCTTCCCTCAATGCACCCCCCTTTTCACCAGCAACATCTTGCTCCTGGCCTTGCTACCCCGCTGGCTTGGCAGACAGGCGGCCAGTGGGCGAGTGGGCACAAGCGTATCTTGCTTCTCTGCCTCAGCACCATCCTTGTCTGGGCTAGAGAAGGGGGCAGCAGGTTCCCGTGCCGGAGAGAAGCGTGCCTGGGGCTCTGGGCAGTGGGCCCAGAGCAGGTCCCTGACCATCTGTCCCCTGGTCACTGGGCTGGACTCCGATTTTGCAAGTGGCAACCAAATCGACAGGGTGCTTCGCTTGGAAAGGAAACTGACTCTCACAAGAGATGCCCCTGAACTCTCCACACACCAGGGGAAGAAAGGGAAATATGCATGATGAAATCTTTTCTGTTTAAAACAAGTAAAAACAGATGGGCAAATCGGAGCGGGGAGGCATTGGGCTGAAAAAAAGGCTGCTGCAACCTCTTTGCCCGTGCCTAGAGGAGAGGTTTAGAAAGTGCATGACAAATAGACATGCCAGCAAGCTGAATGCTGCCTCGAGCCAGGTACTTGTGCTTTCCAAACTGTTTAAAAGTGAAGGATGCACTTTGGTGCATGTATGCATTCACTGTTAGGAGAGGAGAGGAGAGGAGAGGAGAGGAGAGGAGAGGAGAGGAGAGGAGAGGAGAGGCATTTTCAAAATAGTTACAAATCTACTCTGGTAATGGACTGAGAAGAAATGTTTTGCTGCCATCACTGAGGTAAGCCAGTTGGCATTGCCCACAACTTCTGGCTCAAACTTGGCAGGCACCCAGGACCGGCTTTAAAGAGCTTGACATGACAGAAAGTGCATTTGTACCCCTCCAAGAGCACATTCCAAACTGGCTGCACCATCCTAAAAGCAAAGTGTTGGATTGGAACTTACTTGGTTGCACTTAAAACCCACTGTTTTTAAGCAGAATGAAGCCATGGATCAGCTTCTTCCCTTGCTTTCAATGGGATCTGAACCCAAGTTGCTCAAACTGGATGCAAGCCCTCCTGACTGAATTAAAAAGGAGGGCGTGTGTATTGCAGTGTATTTATTGCTGGGGGGGTACCTGGATGGTGTGACGGCAGACATACTTGGCAGTGCCAGCCCGAGATATTTTGCTCCCTGGAGTGAAGCATCAGATGGTCCCTACCTGCCCCGCATTCCCCCACTAAGGCCAACTTTCCAAAGAGTCTTGTTGTACCAGCCAGACAACAATTCCTCTCTCCACCTGCCTTCTTGTTTCAAGTCATGCCCACCCTGAGAGAACACCTCTGAAAGGTGCCCCAGTTCTACTGCCTGAAGCAGCCCACTTCACCTCTTCAGCAACGCCTCGCGAGAGAGAGGCAAGTGTCCGGACGGCACCTTCGTTCGCCTCGAACAGAAGCCTTGGCTGCCTGGGGCCAGATGACAGTCCCAGAATCCCCTGCAACATGGAGGTGCTGCACAGCAGACCTGCAAAGGTTCTTCAGGGGGATGAGAGGGTTCAGAAAGAGGGTTCCCTGACCTCCACAGGGCCAGGACAAGCAGGCAACGGGACCGCAGGGCTGGGGCAGGAAGTGCATTCTGCCCCATTCTGAAGCCCTGCCAAAGGCCGCCTTAGTTTTCAACATCGCCAGCATGCGTTGCCTGTGCATTTTCTTTTTGTTTGCTAAAGCAGGTCCCCATCCCTCGTGGCCATTGCAACGGCAACTGAGGATGGCCTGAAATAAAACCGTGCTGGTAGGGACACGGATCCATTCCACAGCTTTGCATAGCACACGCAAAGAATTTGCCAAATGGCAGATGCTTTTAAGCAAGAGATCAAACAGTGGACAGGGTGACTTTGCGCTAATGGAACCTCTGCATCAAATGAGGAGAATGTAGCGATCACTAGGCTGGCTTAATTGACATTAAAGGGAAGCAAAGATGCCCAGCCAAGCAACAGTGGTAGAGGGGGCGACTCCCTTTCAGGGGATTCCATTATCCCTCCGGCTTCAAAGAACTGCCAAATCTCAATCCCAAAGGCTTCCTACCAGCGACAACATCATGGAATTGATTAAGTGGATCACATCCTAGGCAGAATGGCCAGCTTTGCACAGTTGCAGCAAGCACGGCATTCTGTCTGCGTCTGGTTCTGGTTCTTCTCCAGCTGGTGCATCTCCCCAGGACACGTACCAAAGGTCCCATCAGTCTTGCAAAGGGTGTACGAAGCTAGAAGGGAACACCCCTGTCCGCGTGCCGTCTCCTTCAATGAAACCAGCCTGGAACATGGAACGAGCAGGTGAGCAAGGTCAGACACACAAAAAGTAACAGACATCCAGTTGCCTTCCTGGATATTTTGGACTGCAACTCCCATCCTACTGGCCATAGGGGCTAGGAGTTGTAGTCCAAAGCATCTGGTGGCCACTGGGATGCCTTCTCCTGCAGTAGATGGCTAACTAAATCAGGTCTCCGGCTGCTTTTTCCCATGGGAAAAGACTAGAGTTGGAAGAGGAACCACCCCAATCTTGCAGCTGCTCAAGACTTCTGCTCCATCTTTAAAATTTTTGTCCACATTGGGAGGGAAAAAAATAGGAGCAGGAGATCCAGGATGGCATCAAAACCCATCATTATGACTGGTAGGATCTTTTTTCTGGTTCTCCTCTATTTGCTCCAATAACATTCCTCACAATAGGATTATTCCATGAAAACTATTCATTTCACAGCATATATCCCTTCTAGTTTAATTTGGTATGTCAGAGCTCCTCTGATATTCTTGTTCTCATCTGGGATACCCTCTGTAGGAAACCCTACACTGCAGAGAGAGACCTGGACAGTAATTTGAGAATGTTAGTTGATTTTCTCAGGGTACCTTCTTAAAATTACTCAGCAAAGTTGCCCAGTGTGGCTTCTACTGACATTTTCCACTCAGTACACCATCTAATATTTCTAGTTTTGTTAATATAAAAACTCTCCAGCATCTCTCTGGATTTTCAGTCACTGTGTCTTTCACCAGCATTGTCTTGTTTCCGGAGTCTCCTGAAAACATCTCTGTTTCAAGATGCTTTATTGCCTGACCATTCACTCATTTCTGGTTGGTTAGTTTGTTAACAGTTTTCCTCTTTTAATGTGATGTTTTACTCCTTTTCTCTCTCACTGCTCTGAAAGCTGTTCAGATGGGAAGCAACATAACATAATATGTAAATAAGCAAAATAAGCTAGAAGGAAAAGTGCTTTCCCCCTTGGTCCCAAGAGGAAGCAGCAACACTCACCCAGCTCTGCTCATCCTCTTCCCGTGTAACCACAATCACTTCACCCTTGGCAAAAGTCAGCTCACGGGCCTTGTCCCCTTTACAGTCGACCAAAGCCATCACTCTCTTGGGCCGTCCCTTGGCCTGCCAAAGCCAAAAGTCCTCATCAGTTCCACAGACAGTTCCCAATCTCTTCTGTGGTTAACCAGGCAGGGCATCACCAGCTGGTTTGAGGACGAAGGAACTTACATGGTGGATGGGAAACAAGCATGCCATGAAGCCCAAATAGAAAAGCAAACCAGAGGTGGCTCTCCTGCAAAGTTTCTATTCTCAGCGAATCACAGAGTTACTTCCCCACTGCATAAATTGTCCACACCCTGCTTCTGCATTTTATTCTACCCATTCAGTACCATGAGGACACAAGGGTCTTGCACGGGCCAGCAAAAAGCAGGCAGGACCTGCTTGTAAATCTCTAGGTGATTTGCAAAAAATGGTCCAGGGTTTCCGAACACCAGTTATGTAGGAACTGCAGCAGCGACACCCACTCTCCTTCTAAACCAGGTTGCTAAGACAGAAGAACAATTGTGGTGAGAACCAGGAGCAGTTTTTCCCACAAGAGGATGGTGAGATCAGTTCTGATACTGAGAACAAGCTGCTGAGCTAAGCACATGTTCAGAGGTACCTATGCTCCTCCAGAGGATGCCCTAGCGTGGCTTTGCACCTGGCTCCAGGTGGGGGCCTTGAGCTTTTAGGAACGTTCCAGATGTTGTTCCTGACAAGCACAGCTGTCTAAACTTGCTGCTCCGAGACTGAAAACCATTCATGTTTACTACTGGCCTCACAATCTGACTACTGACAAGCAGAAGGTGAGAAGAATAGTAAGGCTGCTTACTGCTGTTCTTCCAAGGGTCATCTGTGCTTTCACACACGTCTTTTTTAATGATTATAAGCATTTGCCAGTTAAGCAGCACAGAAATTTAACAAACACACCCTGCTCTCCAAGGCTTAGGTACAAAGGAGACGGCAACCATGCCCGAGCCTGTTCAAATGCAACAAGGACGGACCACTGCATCTCCCCAGACTCACCGGAGCAAATCTTCTTGGCATCGGCACAGGGTTTTGCAGCAGTACCGGAGCCTTGCCGGAAGGCAGTTCTTCTGGGAAAACGGATCCTGGGGAAAGCGGAGTGCCAGGAGATTTGCCCCCTGAACCGCTACTGATCCGCCGGTAGGATCGGGTGCTTTCTGAACTGCAAATGAAGAAAAAGCAGCTTAGAAGCCATCGCCGTGGTGGGAGAGGCCTTCTTTAGCTGCTTCTCCTACGCACAAGATTGAAACTTTCAAAGCTACCAGCTGCCCCGGTTTTTTCCACCTCGCTTCTGCATTTGCTTGTGTAACACACAAGGCACGCAAGCAGTGCCACTCAGGACCAGTAATGCCAGGAATGTGCCCGAGTGCGACACAGCACCGCAATGCCCTGGAAAGCTTTCATCCACTCCGAGCACTGGGGGCAAGAGTCCAGCCATGCGCCCTCTGACAGACCGTGCGCTCGCTGGACGCTGCTGCCTCGCACTGGAAAATGGAAATTTGCTCAATGTATCTTCCAGGGCTGTTGTATGAATTCATATTACTGCTGGAACCATGTGCCATGGAACGTACTGGGAAGAAAACTGGCACGGAAGTTACTGTTGCCGTGGGGTGTTGTGTTGTGAGACGGATGTGAGGAATGGCCTTAAATGAACATTTGGCCACCAGGCGTTTACAAAGGACCTGGCTTGATGGACCTGACCTGAAAAAAGAAAAGGAGCCACATTCTGGATGGTTCGGCTCAGAGGTAAAGCTGCCTTTCGCTCCTCAAGCAATGCGTGCAGGCCATGTCCAGAGGGAGCTGTCACTGCCAGGGGGCCTGCCTCTGGAGCCCCGTGCCTCGGCTCACCTGAACTTGACTGGCATCGCTTGCCCCTGCTCGGGAGAGGTCCCCGGAGAGGGCTGCAGCACCGCCGTGTGACTGGGCTCCGACCTCCTCCGCTGGGACACGAGGTCCCTTTCAGAGCAGGTTTCCCAGTAGGCTGTGCCTCTGACTTCCACAGAGTTCCGGAAACTCAGTGACTGCCGGGGTGTGCCACCATCCAGGGTGCCAGGAACGCTGGAAGTAGACGAGTGCCGGCTGTCCAGTACGCCGGAGATGTCTGGAGACGGGGACAAGGACTCGGAGGAGTCTGGAAAGCAATGGGAAAAAAACGGTGGAAAAATCATGGAAAGCCATGGGAAAATCTTCATTCAGGTGGGAAGTCGAGCTGCGTGGCTTACACAGGTGATGTCAGGAGGAGGTAGCCAAAAGGGTCCAGGCAAAGATCACAGCATGTATGGAAGACATCATGGGATGTAAGGCCTGGCTGAGCCTAAAACGCAGCTTCTTGCATGGACGGAGCTCCAGTACACACGTTTTCACAAAAGGAAACTGCCGGACTCTGCTCATCCCAGGTATCCCAAATGCTAGCAGCCTTGGCTAGCCATCGGGAAGAACCCAACAGCCCCCCCTCCCCCATGAGATGCATTTCCGTGCCCTGGATTGCCCACGGCCATTTGCTGACCTGGCTTTGTCTTGGCACTCCCTCTGGTGGGGTTCTTGATCGGCAGCGGTGGGGGCCCCTCCTCGCTGTTGGAGCTCCTCAAGCCGGGCCGCACGGGGGCCAGGATGGTCTCGTAGGTCTTGTTGCTGATGTCCATGCCTGTGCAGCTCCATCTGCTTGGGGGGAAAGGGGCCGGCTGGCCCGTGGTGGGGGATGGCGAGGATCCGAAGGATCGCTGAAGTGGGCTCACCTGCCAGAGGAAGCATCGAAGCCACTCTTCAGCTTCCCAGAAAACCCAGCCTTTCACCTCTGCTTTGCCACTCCCACCTTCAATTTCAGCCTATCCAAGCCCAGGCCTGCCACTCCTGCTCCACCCAAGCCATCCCCAGAGAACCAGGTCTAAGTTGTGAGGGCTTGGCTGAGACAAACAAGGGGAAACTCAGCTCCCGACAGGTGAGAAGGAACAAGGCAACAGCATGCCTGCGCATCCACAGACGCTCCTGAAGCAGCACCTTTTCATCCAGCTCATCTTCACTGTCGTAAGACAACTCCTGTGAGCCTTCCCAGTCGTACTCCACGTGGAACTGTGGGGCCAGCTTTCCTGCCTGCGCCTGCTCCAGCTGTAACACAAGGACAGAAGAAAGGTCCCCACTGTCAGATCGGCACGCAGGGGGTCTTGTCTGCCTCTCCCAAAAGCCAGGGCTGCCTGCACAGGCCTGCTAGGAAGTCAGCCCTCCGCGAACACCGTGGGTCTCAGCTCTAAGTAATTCCAAGTTGTTCTATCCAAGCCATGGAAGAAACCAGTCAATTCGTGAGCATTCATGAAGTTTATACATTCATGTAACTCTCACTCATTCCTAGGTGCTGAACAGCTGTGTACCAATCTTGTCTCGCCTGGGCATGCACAGATTTCAGAGCAGTGTGGGGATTTAGACCCAAGTTTCTGGGTCACCATCTACATCTAATGTCATTTTTAAAGATGCAAAAATGGCATTCTCTGTTGTTAAGTATCCACTGAAGAGTGGAACCATCTATTAGAAAACCAGCTTGCTTGCTTGATTTATTTTCTTTCTTTAAGACATTTGCATCCCATCGATATCCAGGCAGGATCTCTCGACAACTTACAGAGAATAAAACTGAACAGCTAAATTGAGAACAGCACTTGAATCATAATGTACCACCTATATAAAAATATACAGTAAAAGCATCCTAAACCATTAAAATGCAGGGCAAATAAATAGGTCTTGGCCTGGCGCTGAAACAAAGAAAGAGCTGGTGCCAGGCACACGTCTCTGAGGAGCAGGTGCCACTGCTGGGGCAAAGGCGTTGCTTTTAAGCACTCACCTATTGCTAGAGGTGACAAGGAAGTGCATGGAGGTGAGCAAGGGGGCTGGGAGAGGAAGGATGCAATGCTCCATCACTCTTCTGTGTTTAGCATAGAAGCCCCGCGAGCAGGCAGAGGAGGGAGGCCGCTTCGCTGAGCCCAGTGCAGAAATGCAGCTCTCTGCGGCAGAAATGAGGGCGCACTCCACCCCTCCAAATTCACAGAACCCAAGTTGATCCCGGCCAGTTTAATTCCTATCAATCTGAATTGGTCTTCTCTAAGTAGGGCTAAGGTTGGATTAGAGAGTGATGAAAAGGGTTTATCCTTAAAGGAACTATTCATAAACATTTTGTGCATGTTTCTCTTAATATCAACACTTTGGCTTAATGTTAACAGTCTTTGCAAGTAATTCTTTTGGCTATAATGGATTTTTGAAAATCATTTCCCCAGTATGTTCCATTTTGTACCCATTTTCCTGCATTGGAAGACTCCATTCCAAAATTTGGAGAAGTGCCAATGGGAAAAGGTAACGGTTCTGCTTCACTTAGTGGTTAGAAAAAGGTAAAACTGAGTAAAGTCACTTTAAAATGCAAACTAGGTGAATTTCTTTCTGCTCCCTACTCTGAATCCAAGCCCTTGTCTCCTACGGATTTATTTACTCAATGTCTTTTATCTTTCTTCCAAAGAACTCAGCGCAATATATGCAGCTCCGCTTCTATAACAGCACTCAAGAAATCCCGAGTTAGGTCAAAGAGAGAGGCACTGACTGGCCCAAGGTCTCAGAACTTCACAGCCGGAGAGAATTTGGCCCCAGGGCTTCCTGCTCTTAGCCTGACGCTCCAACCAAGGGACTAAACGGGCTGTCAGTGACCATCACTGGCACACCCACCTACCAGGTCTTCGCATTCCACGTGTTTGTACCTTCTCGCCACATCCAGGGGTGTTTCTCCAGCGCTGTTGACTACAAGGGACAACAAATACTGATCAGGCCTGAAGGAAGGGTTGTGGGGAGCAATGCTCGAGTCTCCCCAAGCACGACCTAAGGCAGTTTGCAGACTCACGGCAACTTAGGCAGCCTTCCCCAGCCCGATCCCATTCAAATGTTTTGGGCTGTAACTTCCTCTGCTCCTCGCCGCTGGCCACGCTACCTGGGGCCACCGGGAAGGAATGTGCAACTCCTCTGAAGGACACCAGGCTGGGGAAGGCTGATCTTTGGGAGAATGGCCTTAAAATAAACAGTCTGAAAAGTCTTAGATGACAAGCCTTAGGCATGTCCACTTCTCATACTACTGACTAGGAGTGTAGTTTTTCTTAAATCCATTCTGTCCGTGTTTCACAGATTGTCAGGTGTCCTATCTTATCTGCTCATTGCCAGAAATCTATTTCCTTTTTCTACTAGAATTTCATTCTGCTTCCACTAATTTACATTAGTGCAAGTGGTCAGGTGCACAAATGTTCATTACATAGTATGAATTACACATTTAACACGTGTGCTTTTGCACAGGTGTATACTGGTTAGTAATGCAGATAAATGCTAATCGCCTGATTCACAGAAATCTGAACTCATTAAAAACCATTTCTGTTTTCTCTGAGAACCCCTACTACTGACATTTATGCTACTGCTACCCATGAGGGGCTGGTGACTCCACAGCTTTTATTTTCCGCCATATTGAATTTGAATCTAATTTAATTTGGGGGCTGGTGCTCGGCACTATGGGTAACTCCCATAAACCCGAGGGGAAGGGCTGCAATGGATGTGGTTCCTCACTGACGCACGAGGTGCCAGCCTCTCCTACAACAGGCCATTTCCCCTCGACTCCCAGCCACAGGGCTGCTTACCAGCACTGGTTGCGGCCTTCCCTTTTAGCAGCAGCTTGATGCAGTTGGGCTGATTGTACTGGGCTGCATAATGCAGGGCTGTATTCCCCTCCGGCGTGGGCCTGTCCAGGTTTCCTCTGCAGGCAGGCAAAGGAGGAAGAAAAAGGAAACCCCAGCTTTCATTTTTAACAGGAAGTATCTCTGCTCTCGTGGCTGCGAGGGAGAGCTAATAAACCTCCCCGTACCCATTTCTCCCCTTAATTTGTCTTTTCTGCCATGCACCCCTTTCCTTAATAATTATGAAAAAGGCCAAACTAGTGGAATATTCCAAAGCTTGCAGTAAGCAATCTGTTTACAAATGTTGGACCTACAACAACAACTACTATGATGATGATGATGATGCAAGCCACGTCACCTCCTTACAAAAGTGCTCTTGCTCAGGGTTCCAGGCACCCATTTCTTTCAAACAGGGCATTCAGCTCTCTCGGCCTTCTACCTCCTCCATTTTGCATTTTCAGCAGCGACCTTCTGCGGCTACTGAGCATGCCCAGTCCTCACCTGGCTGGTTTCCTTGTGTGCAAGAGCTGCCCTGTTTCTTCTTAGAGACGTTTTGTATGTTTGCAAACTCCAGGTGTCTCTGAAGCAAGCCTGCACCACCCCACCTGTTTCTCAGTGGACCCCGTTCGATTCAGCTGTCCCCTGGGTTGGCTATTAGGCTTCACTGAATCTGAGTGCAGAATTCTATGGGCAGAATTCTGGCATCCTGGGTAAAAGGACGCGCGTGCATGTACGTGCATGGGGATGGAGAGCTAAGCCCGCCCTCCCCGCAAGCAGGGCTTACCCATTCTGAATAATGAAGTCCACCAGGGGGAGTGAGGTTTTGTTGGCGTACCGTACAGCCAAATGGAGAGCCAGTTCGCCTGGTTCCTAGGAGGAGAGGGGTGTTGGGGAGAGAAGCAGCACTCAGCAAGCCTGGCTTGGAAGGACTCAGCATGGCCGACATGTGCAATGAGCGCGCACAGCATGGCCGTGAGCTTGAAGGAGGGATTCCTGTTACCTCCTTGAATAACAGGCCACTTGTCTTCCAGTAAGATCGATGCTGCCATGGGGGACAAGGGTGAAAACCTCGACCAGGAGAAGGGGTGGGGGAGGAAGGATGTGCCAGAAAGGACAAAGGGCTGTTTCTCTAGGGCTCGTTGTTTGGAACCAGCCAAACTCAAGTGGCGAGTGAGTCCAACCTGCAATTTTGGTACCTTTGCTTTTGGCTGTGGGGCGGGGCATAAGTCGTGGCTTGCAGCCTGCTGTACACAGCAAAAATTGCCCAGCCCTTCTATTTGTTACCCCAAAGTAACATGGCAGCTGAGACTGGACACCAGCCTCTAAGGGAACAGGTAGCATTAGAATTAAGACTGCTCTAAAAAAAAAAAATGAACTGTTGCTGCTTTTGGAGCAAACCAGCATCTGACAAACATTGCTATGTACATCTTCTAGCAGTTCCTCATTTTATACCACTTACCTGACCCTCAGGGCTGGCCAGAGGTTTGGACAAATCGTGGCCCACTGCAAAGGCCTGCAACAGTGCCAGGAGATCCCGGTTGCGGATGGCTTCCCAGAGACAGCCGGGTTCATCCCTGGCAGCTTTGTGGACGTATCTGCGCTCCATGTACTTGGCCATGATGAATTCCTTCCGGGCATTCCTGTACAAGGGGAAGGGAAACATCTGGGAATAACTATGAAGAAGGATCTCCTGGATGGGACCCTCCTGGTTGGGGAACCCTCCTGTTCTAGCTTCTATGGCTGGAAAGATAGTCCTGAGAAACTACAAAGTCTGGGAAGATATCAAGCAGGAAAACGGAATGGGAAGGGGGCGTAGCATTTGTAAGGATCCAAGGGAAAGATTCCAGTACCCCATGCAGCACAGTGAGAATGATGCCTCGTTGAGTTTCTCCTAGTGCAGAACTTAGATTTAAAATAAATTAAATGCAGGGCACACAGATATATCTATATATTTGTGGGTATGCCGAAGTTATCCTGATATTGGTACAGCCGGCACAGCTTTCCTCGGGATCTACCTTCTATGGAACAAGACTGTGCCCACCAAAGTCCTGCCCAATCAGTTCCTTTTCCTTGTTGCACACGAAGTGGATGGAGCATCTCTTCTGTACCCACCCTGAAGACTACCCCGACTAGCTCCCGGAATCCTGCTCTCGTGACAATGTCCGCTTCTACTCACATATCACTGCTTGAAGAGGGTTTCGGGCTGCCTTGTGCTGGCAAGGTGGCCTCCATCACTTCGTTAAACTTGGCATTTCCAATGCTGACTGCCAGCTAGGAGCAAGACAGGGAGGGCATGTCGGTGGAGAGAGACTAAGCCCCGCAGAAAGGACACATGGGCCACCTGAAGCTTGAGGACTGTGCGAGGTCCTGGGGGGCCTCTGGTGTGGCTTGTCAAGCTGCCACATGCCCACCCTCCCCCACAAAGACCAAATTCCATGCACACAGAGCATCATGTGGGAGCCCTCTGCACCGAGAAAGGTGGTGCATAAGGAGAGCCACATGCCAAAAGCTTTCTGGCAGCTGCCTAGTGTGCAATTTCAATCATCCCCTCTGAAAGCGTGAGAGCCAGTGGGGTTTGCTGTGGTGCTGAGTGACAGTCTGGGGGTTCAGGAGATCTGGGTTCTAGTCCTCATGAAGCTCACTGGATGGCTCGGGGCCAGTCACTCACTCTCAGCCTAACCAACCTCCCTTGATAGTTTTTGTGTGCACAAAATGGAGTGCAGTTGCACTCGGCTACCTTGCAAGGATATAAAGGTGATGCAATAATCCTACGGGCAGGCTCACTGTGCGGAAACGGAGGGGGAGGGAACAGGCGCATGAGCAACTGCAGCTGCTGTCGTTTTATGGCTTTATTGCTTTATTGCTCACATGTTGTCCTCGTCTTTCTCATTTATCTGTTTCTTAGCTTTGACTTCTGGTAACTGCTCCTTTGGCTATTGGGCAGTATTAAAATGGAATAAATAAATAAAACACATACATGGCCAGGCACGTGTGACGTGTGTGCACACACAGATGGGGTGTGCATGCATTCATGCCCAGAGAAATGAACTTGGAAAGCGACCATTTCTTGATATGCCCTTCCCACTGGCATCTTACTGGTTTTTCGGCGCCAGGTAAAGACTTTTTTATTTAAACATCATTTTAATTGTTAAAATATATGATCTGGCCAGGGCAACTTCTTCTTCCTTCTCTTTTCTCCTCCTATATTATTTATTTACTTATTTTATACTGTTAATTTTAATTTTATATTATTACGTTTGAAGCTCAGTGTATTTTTTGTATTTTTGTATTTAATGGTAATTTATTATGTTCTATTGTATTTCAATGTATTTCATTGTGTTGTAAGCCGCCCCGAGGCTTCGGCAAGGGGCGGCATAGAAATGTTATAATAATAATAAAAAAATAATAATAATCTTGTAAAACTGAACCTCTCTGTATTGACCCATCCCAAGCTCTTGCTGTACAAGAAAGAATCTACCCCCTTCCCCACCCCACGAGCGTCGTTCCAGTTCTGCCCACCTTTGTATCTCTTTCTATCCACAAAATTACCCAATTTAGCTTTCTAGTGTTGTGCCCATAAGCCTGGGATGCTGAAGAAACACAAGGTGACAAAGCACAATGTGAAAGTCGAGAAGCGGAAGCAAGCAGGAAAAGGGGAATTCTGCACTTTACCAGCAGTTCAGAAGTGCTGAGCACATCGAGCGTCAGAGACTGGATGCGGGAATAGTGCACCCCCAGCTCGCGGTGGATCCCTGAGCACTCAATGCACGTCAAGATGCCAAGGTTGGTGGAGAGCCACGTGGGATCTGGAAGACACACACGATACAGAAGTATTGCACGAAAAAGGGTATTTCATCCTGTTTTGGGATTCATCCTCCTACTAACATTTCCGTCATGTCTGGACTAAAGCATAAAGGCATCCTCACGTCTCTAAAAAGATAAAATATGGGGCCCACAGTAGGCCAAGGGTGTTTCAAAGGCTGTGGGAAACAGCATGAAATTTTATTTGATCTTGAAATCAAATTGGAAAACAAACACAAGAAAACATGCATACCAATATAAAAATACTTAAAGCCAGAAAGAAACCCTCTGGTGTAATCCTTAGTCTATCACCAAATTCTTATGGAGCATCTATGTTGGGGGTCTCCAATCTGTTTGGACCTAAGTGCACAACATCTAATCAGTGAATCGCTGTGGTGGCTTCTCCTTGTCTCATCTACGGAGCTTCAGCTGCATCCTGATCAGCAAAAACGGGTTTCGTGTATATTGGGCACTGCTGCCTCTTTAATAAGGGGTTGCCTAATCAAATGGCCAGTGGTGCAACACCGCCAATGCTTCTTTTAGGCACAAGTTTTGGAAAGATCCAGCAGTCCCTTCTTTTTGGGAGGAGGTTGCTGCACAAAAATACACTTTTTCTATTGAAAAATTCTGTACTATTCACTGACCTACTTGATCTTCCAAATCATTTACCTGCTTCCTGGAAATTGACAAATAGGAGGGGAAATTGATTCTGTGCACCCTTTTGGCAGCTCAAAGACTGAGGTTACCCACACAGGGAGGTGAAGTCCTCACCACCTGTAATATAATGGATTGAGGCCCTAACAAGATTTTCAATGTGTGGATGGGTGGCATAAAGACACCGACTTGAAATGGATATTTCATATAAATCCATGTGTGCATATTAAAAATGAGAACATGGAAAAGCTAATATGGCAGAGCAGTTATTGCTGAAAAGGGTCTCAGGAGATCCAAGTTCAAGTCCCTGCCCTAACGAAAAAAAGAAAGTGCAAGGAACAAAGTTTAACAGCAACACGTCGAAAGGTAGAGTGCTCCTATACAAGGTGCCTGCCTGCCTGCCATGCTCTCTCCTAAATTACTCCATTTCATTCAATCTCCTTTCTGTTTTCCATTCCCTACACACCAAATATTCAGCATCTTGTGGCCACTGAGCAAGCTCAGTCCTCTCTGAGCTGTTTTTGGGTTGAGGTTTGCCTTAGGATTGATTATCATTTTACTTGCACAAACCTTCAAACTTTCCAAGCAGGCTGAGACATTCCTGTGCTCCCTTCACTGGACTTCTCTTTGTTGGTGCCCTGTATCTCGAGCTCTCTTCCAGTTGGAGTTCGCATGCTGCTAGCTTGGCTATCGTTTCGGCAAATGGTCCCAACTTGCTCATTTGCCGTGGTATTAAACACTCCCTAAGTGGCCCACTCATTTCACCCCTCATCTCCTGACTGGGTCAAGGAACTCTTTCTCCATCACCAGCCACCCAGTTCTGAAATGTCTCCCTCCTCTTCCAAGGCAGGCTGGTTCGCACTCTCTGCCCAAGAATCTTCACCAGGCGACCCCGAAATGGAAAAATTACCTGCCCATTACCTGCCCACCTCTGCCCTTCCACCTCCTCCTCAGAATCGGATGCCTACCTGAGCAGATGGCAATATGTGAGACCAGCCCCGCTCTCTGCAGCTAACAGGTACCCAGAGGTGCTGCAGAGATTCCAAAAAGCCAGTGGGGGGCGTCTCTCGGACAGACCTTCTCTGTAAGCCTCATGGAAACAAGGGCCATGAGCCACTCACTTGCACAGAACCCATCTCTCAGGGTTGGCAGCCACACTGCAAGGGCTGCCCCATGCGGGACCCCCGCTGGATGGCACCCAGACGCGGGGGACGTACCTGGGGCTCCACAGTCGCAGCACTGCCTGTTGCCCGGCATGTTCTTCACCTCACTAATAATGAGCTTGGTGAGCTCCTGCAGGCCGCTGTCCACCATGCCGCCCGTCGGAGACATACAGCCGCCTGGGTCCCCCTTGAAAGCATTGCTAAGTGCTTCATCCTTGCTGTTCTGGAGCACTGACACCCATCTGGTCAATGGAAAAGAAGGGTGGTTAGGCAGCAGGGCGGTGGATGGGAAGCACCGTCCTGACCACTGAGTAGGCCTGACACACAGTGGACAGGAGCAAAGTCCCAAATTTCTGGAGGGCTCCCAGGCGGGGGAGTATGGGAACCTGGCTTGTGGGCCTGAGGTTCACCACGCCTGGCGCAGCTGAGCTACACAGACTGGCAGTGGCCTGACTCCATCTAAGACAGCTTATTATGTTACCCGACAAAATTCAAGGCCGGATGGAGAGCTGCACCGGGGTTCCCCATGTCCTAGACCTACCTCCAGCCTGACGACTTATGGAATCCAGGCTGCTGCTGACGTGTAAACAGACCACATTCAGCAATGAAGCTCCCTGCTTACACCCATCCACCCACCACGCAGAGGGCTTTGCACACACTGAAGGTCCTGGTGATGATGAGGCGGGAGGTGACACCTGAAGCGCCTTCAAGGAAAGGCAGGGTGCGAATCCAATAACCTTTCTACCATGCTGCATTCTTCTGTCAGGGGCGGGGGCCCTGGAGTCCTCCAGCATGTTGTGAGGCTGTAACTCCAATCCTCTGCAACCACAACCCATGCTGGCTAGGGATGAGGGGAAATGGAGTTCACCAACATCTGGGGCATGAACAGGTCCCTGTCCAATGCCACCCATCTGGAGCTATCTGGCACACTCCCTCATTCCACAACAGGTAAAGGTAAAGGTTTCCCCTTGACATTAAGTCCAGTCATGCCTGACTCTCGGGGGCAGTGCTCATCTCCCTTTCCTGGCCAAGGGAGCCAGCGTTTGTCCGCAGACAGTCTCCATGGTCATGTGGCCGGCATGACTAAACACCAAAGTGCACGGAACGCTGTTACCTGCCCACCGAAGGGGTACGTATTTATCTACTTGCATTTGCATGCTTTCGAACTGCAAGGCTGGCAGGAGCTGGGACGGAGCACCGGGAACTCACCCCGTTGTGCACATTCGAACCGGCGACCTTTCGATAACCAGCCCAGCAGCACAGCGGTTTAAACCACTGCGCCACCTGCAGTCCTTTCATTCCACAATATCTGCATGTAAATTATGCATCTTTCCGGCATGCTTCATGCTTTCACTGTGGTCCACCTTCTCCAGAAATGTTTTGTTTATTGCTTCTCTCTGGACTAAAGCAGGAGTGTTCGATGCAAGTGAAAGCCCCTTCCCTCTTCCCCCTGCCTCCCCCACCCCACATACACAGGCTAAAAAAGAAACCCTCCCTTGAAAATGCAGCACAGTCAGGACAAAGCCGAGCACTTTCTCTGGCTGGAACAGTGGAAAGCTCAGGGCTAAGAAAGGGCATCGAGGGACTTACGCAATGCAGTCCGGCTCGTCCTCGGCTTGGAAGTGGTAAGTTCTGTTGTCTGCAAGGAGAGGAGACTCGGGTGGATGAAAAAGCACAGGAGCAAGAAATGCAGCTCAAGAGGATTTTTTAAACTAGCATTTTCTTTTAAAGTTTCTAGACATTCAGATCACAGAGCGGGGCTAGAAAATGTGCCGGGAATGCTTGCTGTATAGCCATGCTCCAAACATCTGCTCCTCAAAATGGCTTGCACATCTTTGTACCTTCTTCAAACCCTGCCCCCCCCCCAAAAAAGCTCACACCTTCATGTAGCTTTTGCTGCATCCTGACCTCCTCCAATGGCTCGCAATCCAAGGGAAGGCAACCTGATGCCCTCCATATATTCTGGACTGCAACTCCCAGCACCACCAGTCATCCTGGATGGGATTAATAAGAGCTGTAGTCCAAACTATCAGGTCACCGGATGTTGCCTGCCCCGTTGTTATCCGTTAAGAAAAACCCACAAGAGGATTCACAAACCAGCTTTTCCAAACCGCACGTCCCCGAAGAGGATGCGCCCTTAAAGGCTACCCTTTGGCAACTGACTAGTGCTGGCAACAGTCTTGCGCTTCCACCAACCTGCATGATATTAGACTCTAGTCATCCAAGAATTAAGCAAATATTGTGCCAGCTCATCGATCTTATACTGGTCATGGATTTTTAGTTTTCCTGGCTGGAGAATTTGGATTGTCCTAAGCCACAGAGAACATTCACGAGGTTCTCATGGTATTTTATTTAGCAAACTAGCTATGTGTGAACCAGGTAAAAAAACAGATGGACAACCATACTGCAAGAGTGTTCATCAATGGTTCACCATTCAAATTGGAAGGATGTTTTGAGTGGAGTCCACCTTCTCTTTGACTTGGACCTAGTGCTATTCAACATTTTTCATACATTTCTCAAGATAAAGGATGTGGGACGTTTTTATCAGATTTGAAGATGACACACAACTCAGTGGGATACCTAACACCTCAGAAAATAAAAATAAAATTCAGCATAACCTTGATAGAACAGAAAACTGAACTGAAACTACTGAAATGAAATCCAGCTGAGACAAATGTTAAATTCCACATTTAGGGAGAAAAGGGGAGGTGGTAGCTATGAATTGGCATCAGAACATGTGAAAAGGATCTCGGGACTGTAATCAGTCCCAGCCCAAACACGAGCTAGCAATGCAACGTGACTGCAAAATGACCTCATGAGACTACATTAATAGATCTTTCACTTCCATGTCACAGGAAGTTACATCCCACTTTATTCTGCACACTAGTCAGACCACATCTGGAGAACTGCATCTGGTTCTGGGTGCTGTGATTTAAGGAAGATACTGACAGATTGGAAGGGGTTCAGAGCTGGGCAAAGATTAACACTCAAATAACCAGAGAGCTTTCTCCACCTCTTCATGGACAAGAGGTGTACATTTCACAGATAGGAAGGCTGAGCTAATAAAAATCACCAGGTTTTTCTGCATCCCTTCACCAGGTTCTCACGAAACGCAAATGAGAAGTGTCATGGAAGGAGTTGTGGCAAGCCATTTACTTACGTGTCACAAGATCGAAGGACTTTTTATCCTCTGGATGAGGCCTCACCTGGCAAGTCAACAGATTTAACTTCACTGGAGGTCGATTTATCTGGGAAGCAATGAGTGAACATGGTAAGTTCCACATCCAGGAGGGGAACAGATTTTGCTGATGTTAAGTAGAAAAAGAAGACGATGAGAAAGAAGGGCAACCCACTACCTTCGGTGGGAAATTTCTACAGAAAGTTACCACACTTCTCTAAATGCCAGGCTCTCCTATATGACATTGAATATTGAAGCTAGAAATTTTAACCAAACAGTTCCCAACCTTGATCCCCAGATGGCGTGGGACTACAGCTCTCACCATCCCCAACTAGCACGTCCAATAGACAGGATGCTGGGTGTTGCATCCAACAACATCTGGGGACTTCAGCATCAGCAACCTGCAGCTTGGACTGTTAGGAAGCCCCAGTGACGACAGCAGCATCAGAGAGAACATGAAAAATAATGTATTTACTTAAAACATGTCTATGCTGCTCTTATGCTAACATTTTCCAGGGTGGCTGAGCACAGTCCACACTGATGTCCTTTCAGTGTGTCAGACTGCAGCGGCCACTGTTCCCAGCCAGCATCCGGGTCACTGGTCAACCACTAAGAGCTGATCTCACCACACTGATTTCAGATGATCCAAAGATGCTTGAAGCATGATGTCCTTATGGGACAAAGAGCAAGTGTTTGCCACATGGGAGTAAGCCATAGATGACCAGATTAATTCCGGCATGGCAGGCAGCACTTCTCACCACATGGGGGCACCCCACGCAAGAAACAAGCAGCACCTCACGGCCCCTGACCATATCAAAACACCACTTGCAAATCGGGCCCAACTCACGAGGCAAGTAGGAATCCATAATAACCAAGGAAAGTGGCTGGGAGTTAAAACCTCCTTTCAAAGATTTGAGGACACACAGGAAACAAAGCATAGGGCTAAGGGCAAGAGATACCGAGAAGACTCCTGAGAGTCCCTTGGCCTGCAAAGAGATCAAGCCAGTCAATCTGCTCTTTAGAAGGCCAGATACTGAAGATGAAACTCAAATACTTTGGCTACCTAATGAGAAGGAACAGCTCACTGGAGAAGACCCTGATGCTGGGAAGGATTACCAGCAAAAAGAGAAGGGGGCGGCAGAGGATGAGGTGGCTGGATGGGGTCACTGGGGCAGTGGGTGTGGGCTTGGGTGGACTCCAGGGGATGGTGGAGGACAGGAGAGCCTGGAGGAATGTTGTCCATGGGGTCATGATGGATCATAAACAACCACAAGGACAAGGGAGGAAGCGGAACATGTTTGATGAGAGAAAAGGGAAGAGAGCATGAAGAAAAAGCAACTGGCTGGGGCGCATTCAGAAAAAGGATCCTGGGAGCTTAAATGAAGAAAAAGGCCCAGGCAGAAGCCCCAAGGCTAGCCCAAGACACTGTGCAGTCTGAGGGAAAAGGCACAGCGGTGTCTTCCTCCATTCTGTGTACAGAAGTCAACTGGGCTGACAGTTAAATCCTACTTCAGTGCTGCCAGTGGGAGAGGGTCCCCATCACGTCTGAGAGCAAGAGACGGCCCACCAAAACCACCTTTAAGGGAGCCACAAAAGATAAGCAGGGCACGCTGAAAGAGGTGAAATGACTTCCCAAAGTGTTGGGGACACACAGTTGAAACAAGAAAGGTTTGCTTTTCGGGTTCAACAGCCCCTACCTCTTCCTTGAGTGATATAACAACAAAAAGGGTTACCCAAGAGGCAAGGCTGCCCCATTTCACAAAGCTTTCACTGGGAAATGAACGCTCTTTCCCACATAAAGTACAAATACACACCAAATTGAACGGTTCAAATAACTTCCTCTCACATATTCCGGCATGGTGTAGTGGTTAAGAGTGTGGGAACCCAGAAGATCTGGGTTCTAGTCCTCACTCAGCCATGGAGTTGTTACAAAGATACGACTGAGAGGAGGCAGCAACTTGTGCAGAACTTGTTGAGCTCCTCGGAAGGAAAAAGGTGGGATATAAATCTAATAAATAAATGCTAATAATGGAATGAGTGAGGAGGCAGCAGGAAAGCATCTGTCGACCATGCGACCCAGCATGCCAACGTGCCCACTGGCCACAACCCTGGCGGCCACAGCCGGGGCATTCTGAAGAAAGGGTCGGGGCCACGAGCTGTTTTCCCATGAGCCCCTCACACAGGCATCGAACCCTTGGCAGCCCCCTGGTGTCAACTGACCCGAAAAGGCGCCTGCAGGCAAGCAGCACCACTGAGCCACCAACTTTGCCCCCAGTCCCACTTACCGTGCTGTGTGAGATGGTGAGGCATCCGTACTTCACTCCACACTTCCTCTTCTGCCACACTTTCCGGATCCTAGCAGGGCAGGAAACAGACAGCACAAATGCACACGGTTATCATGGGGTGCCTTTGCCACAGAGGTCACAAATTGCAAAAGCCCCACCTTGCTCATGAGTATATAGGTCTGGTTTGTGAGAGCCTCTCCACTGGGCCCCACCACCTACTCTAGAGTAAGAATGAAGCTAATCCTCAGGAACATACTCGTACCATGCCATTCACAAAGAGCAAACTACACATTAGGTTAAGCAACCTGCTCCATTTTTATTCTGTCTTGATTATTTTTTTAAATGGTGCACTTGGGAACTCACACGGGGAGATGAAATGGAATCTTTCCCTTTGCACCTGTGATTTTATCGATAACACATTTCACAGTTACCTGTACACTGATGTGGGTTATTCTCTGTGAAATCACCACTTGGGAAGGAAAGATTACATTTCATATTCCAATGTGGGAGTAGGAGGGCCCAATAGAAGCCAAGCACTTCCACAGTGGAAAAAAAATAAAGAAAAAACAACAGTAGGGGTGAATGAGAAATTAGTCTCCATTTGCTTTGATCAGGATTAGTAGCTTCCAGGTCAAACAGGGATACCATACAATCTAAGTCCATACAATTCCAATCTTGCAGTATAACTCACAGAGCCCAAGAATGTGTTTGACAGAATGTCGACATTTGAAAAGGCACATAAAAATGGGTATTTTGAAAATGTGCAAAAATACAGTTTAATCAAAGGAAGAGGAATGCAAAGAATTCAAAGACATGCACAACTGATACACGCATTTGGAAAAGTACACATGAACATGCACAAAGAATTCCATGTAAAAAGAAGAAAAAAAAAGGCTTCCATCTGAAACAGACTTGAACTGGAACAAGCTTCAAGATGGAATTTAGAGAACTTTGGCAAATTCAGATTTTGCCTGATTCACGCATCCCTAAAATAGAGCCATTGCTGCATCTTTTTAACATGCAGTGGCTCGAAAGTTCTCACACTAAAACCATCTTGGAGCAGCTGATTTGGAACTGCTTCCAGAATAGCTTGCAGAAACCAGCCCTCCCAGTTAAGACGTAAGAGCCCCTTCCCTTCTGAGCGGGACTTGCTTTCCCTTTGGCCACTGCATCCCAGCAATGGCCCAGGGAGAGGAACCACTGCTGGTGCAACTCACCCATCGCTTTTCTTGTGCAGGAAGCCCGACTTCTCTGTCCCATACTGCTTGTTGCCTTGGTGTTGATGGATGCTGTAGCCACTGCCCGAGTTCTTCCTGTTGAGGTTGTCCTGCACATATTTTATTTTATTTTATTTATTTAAAATATTTATATGCCATCCTATTCGCAAAAAGCCTCAGGACGGCTCTCAGCATAAAATAAAATATAACATAAATAAAATTAAAATAAAAACATACAAAGGAGCGTGTCCTAATCCACGTATTTATGACATTTCTGCACCGACCAATAACTGAAGCTCTCTGGCAGTTCACAAACTCAAATCACACACATGAGCTCTGCAGGACTCAGACCGCAAACTGGTTCAAATGACTGACTGAAGAGTTGCTGACCCATTAGAAACGTCTCCAGCTCACCAGGCAGTGTAAGGTCACCTGGCTACTCATCAGCAGCACGTGCATTCTAAGGCGGGCATGGGGTCCTGCCCTTCCCTTCTCGCAGGAAGGATGGCGCTTCGGAGGTGGTGCCTGCCATGGCATTCCTGGATGCACCACCGATAAACAAGCAGCCCCCTTCCTCAGGATCCCTGCTCCCAGCATCAGCCTGGAAGGGTCTCTCTGTCCAGCAACAGCGGAAGCCCCAGCGTCAGCAACAAACCTGGGTCTCAGCCCAAGGCCCCTGAGGCGGACTCTTGTGTCAGGACTCCTGGAGCCCACATCCACAAAGCCACAAAGGAACCAGCCCCCTCTGCATCAGACACCCGTGTCCTCCAGGCCCACAGCAATCTGGGCGCCACAGATGGGAGGACCAGGCAGAGCAGGGGAGGAGCACCCATTTCCGAACCAAAGGCCTGTCCCGTTAGGCCTCTTGGAAAGGGTGGCGCCTGGCCGGGGGGACTTGGCTCCGAAGGGATTCCTCTTCTCTCAAGACGTGGAGCAAGTCGCTTACCTGGAGCCTCCGGTGTCCCATGAGGCCTTGCCAAGATCCACCCAGGAAGTCCCACTGCACTGACATGCAGTGTTCATTCCAAAGGGCGATTCTGCACAATTCCGTGCAGAACTGTATGCAGAATTCATTCACCAAAGTGTACCTATATGTACATCAGTCAACTACAATCTCTCGAATGCAGGAAGAGCCTCAATTTGTTAACCTTACCCTACGTGGGGTGCTGAAGCTCCTGCTTGACCCCCACCCCCGCCATGCCAGCTCCTCACACGCCTCCTCAGCAAGCTTGCTGAAAGCTCACCCCTTTGGTCTCCAGCTGCAGGATGCCTCGGAGGGAATCGCGGATCCGAGTGAGCTGTTTCACCTCCTCTTCCTTCGCTTGATGAAGCTAGAAAGAGAGGAAGGCCTGAGTAACTAGACAATACACAAATAAACTGGCCCAATGAATCGCTGCTGTGGCAGCAGTCATATTGCAGAAACATTCTTAGGAGTTTGGCATCATACAGAATTGTTCTGTTCAGGCCAGAGGCTTATGGGCTGCAGTGTAATGTTCTGCATTACATACAAGGTGTGGAAGCTCAGGCCCAGGGAACAAATCCAGCCCAGTTCAGGGCCGAATGCAGCCTTCTGGGTTCCCCAGAAGGCAAGGTCCTTCCCCATCACTACCAATCATCCAGTAGATTCCTGGCTTTTGTGCAGCTTTTCTCCTATTCTAGACGGCTGAAATGCCTCTTTTCTAAGGCCTAGTCAAGACAGGAAGAGCTTTAAAATGTGCTGATATTTACAGTGTTTCAGGTCCCACTCTTTTTGGTTTCAGCCTCCCATAAGGCCTTGTGGCTCCCAAGAGCTTCTCCCTTTATGGAATTCATCCCTGGATCTAAAATTCAGCACCACAATATTATATCGAACCAATGCATATTGTTGTAGAATCATGCAAAAATATTTCCACCCAGTGGCATGGAAGCAGGAAAGGTTAGCTTCTACTAGCTTCCCTAACTGTGAATATTTAGTAAACTGGTATTTATTTATTTATACAGAACTAGCACTGAAATGCCTTTTCCTGACTAATTTCATGGAAAACAAAGGAGGGAGTGATTATCAACATGGCCAAAGCAGCTTAAAAAGCTTTGTTAGGGCTGGCAATTGAAATTAAGGCCATACAGAAACAATGAGGATCTGAAGTGTTTGGGGAAGGAATGATGGAAAATAAGAGAAGGGAACTGGGAAAAGTAGAGTGGAGATGAATAAGAATGGATATTGGCTTAAGGCAGGACAAGTTAAGCATAGCATTAGGGAGAACTTTGCAACCGGATCCGTGCCCAAGTAAATCAACTGTAGACAGTGCAGTTAATGGGAATTTGGAAGGGCATTATGAGACACTCCCGTTAACAACTTACTGCATGTAAAGATGCGGCCAGCTTCTCGATGAATGGGTACAAGTTCTGAGATGCCTTCCAACCATCTTGAAAGAAACTGTTTTAAAAAATTGGCAGAGAGGTGTGTCAAAGCATGGAAAGAGAGAGAACATTATGAAATTAAGTTTGCAACACCACGTACAGCCAAATCCGGACACATCTGAACATGCGAGTGCTCTGCTGTCATTTAGAAACCTACCACAGGAAGGGATGTGGGTAACTGATTGGAAGCATCAACCACGGTGCACTTACTTGTATTGTGCATGATAGAACTTGATCAGGCTCTGCAGAAAGTCTGGACCTTGCTTCATTTGGCTTTCATGGGCTTTCAGAAGGTACTAGGCGGAGGTGGGAAGACCAAAAAACACTAAGTTAGGGTCAAATGTAGGTTCTTCAACACAGCCTGAGTTCGCTGCCAGTAAACTGGTTCCCATGCAGCACTTTAGTCACCACAAGGATACAGGAATTCCCTGAGCACTGCAGCAAGGTTGGAAACAAAGGCAAGAGCCAAGGCTGCAGCTCTGCTTAGAGGCTCAGGGCACAAGCCCATGGCTGCTACATATCGTCCGGATAGCCGTAGGAAAGGTCGCCGTCCCAGCTCTGAGCTCAGACATGCTTCCCAAGGCCACTCCAACAAGGGTGGCCTCCCTTTCCCCTCAAATCAAGACAGTTCTTTCCAGGCTGCCTGTAGCGCCATCATTTTGAGCATGGCTTCAGAGCCAAAGCTTGGCCTAAGGACACTGAAGCAGAGAGCAAGGAGGGGAAGAGTAAGGTTTTGCCAGGGCGCCAGGATCTCAGGAGGGCCTCGGCCCCTCCTCCTCATGTGTACAAGCAAGACATAAATGGCCAGAACTGGCTATCTATGTCTTTGGCCCAGCAGGCAAAGAGCTTGACAAGAGACCTGAAATCCTCCGAACCCAGAGAGTTAGAGGTAGTCAATGGACTGCACCCCAAGGCACGCATTACACTCAAGTCTGACCGGAAGTCCCGGATTAATTCTAGAGTGTCTGCACCCAATTCTGAATACAGGTCCTTGTGTAACTTATCTGTACATTATAGTTTCAGCATGCAAGTTGAGATGCAATCATTATTTACATCTACTGCAGCTTATAACGCAAGCCCATAACAGGAAGAGATGTGGACACCTGGCAGCGCTTACTTGCGTTGTGTAAGAGGGAGCTTGGTTCAGACTCTGCAGAAAGTCAACAGAAATATAGGAACAGGTGCAACCAATGGACTCTGGAGACAAGTAACAGTTTGGAGGTCAAGTCCTGCTCCTGAAGGAACCCATCTATCCACAGACCAGATGAGGCTGGATTATGCACACAGGCCAAGCGTTCTGAACCTCCTGCCTGCACTGCTGGCCCACCCCAATGTCTAAGTCAGGGGTCTTTTCCCGTAGATGCCAGAGATTGAACCTGGGAAATTCTGCATGCAAGATACATGCTCTGCCACTGAGTTACAGCCATTCCGCAATGCACAGACCTGTTTTTGCCACCTGCCGCAGGGCCTGAGTCAAGCAGCTCTCCGGGGACAGCATTCTCCAAGTCTGGTGCCACAATAATCCCTATGCTATCCTTTTGCGCAAGAGGCACAGCCTTGCACATGTGCCTCCTCCCATGTGCTGCATTTGCCAAGTGTCCTCCCGGAAGACTTGACCAAGAATGGAGATGATCTGGAAGGGAGCTGTGGGTGGGCAGGCAATGGTGCGACGGAGCAGCCTGTGGTGGCTGACTCGGGCTTGTTGGACAAAGGCAGAATCCCTTAGAAAGGAGAGGAGGAGGCCTGCCTCACCTTGTGTTCCGGAGGGAGGGCAGGAGTACAATGCAAGGAAGCACTGGAGGCCTGCACAGATCCAGATTTCAGAGCCGGCTCAATGCTGCCGGCCCATTTGAGGAATGAGCGGGATGCTGGCAGATAGCACACTGGGCTGCTGGAAATGCCAGCCCCTGCGAGAGCAAACTCCTGTGCTGAGTGTCAGTGCCACGGCAGTCAAGCCAATGCCACAGAGAAACAAGAGGAGCATCTTGGATAAAGCACTGCAGGAGGAGGGAAAATGCCCTTTGGAAAAGCGCCTTAGGGGACAAGACTCAAGCCAATAATGCACTCACTGAAGGTTGACTGGCACTCCGAAAAGGGAAACAGTTATTGGGGCTGGGTGAGGAATGGATTAGTCTGCTGGAGAAGGGCACCGCGGCCGGCACCCCGGGCGGGACACCTGTTTATTCCTATAAGCAAGTGAAAATACTTTAACATTTGTTGCAGGCGTCACTTGTTTATAACTAATCACCATCTGATTAAAGCTTTCTTGTGGACTGTCTTGTAAGTGATTAATTAGGACAGATCACCAATTACACTTTTGCTAATTGCAAAACCACAAAGAAGAAGATGTCTTTGCAGTTGATCTTATCGTGAAGTCTAGGCCAGGAAGCAAGGAAGGGCCATAACTCAGTGGTAAAGACCATGTTTTGTATGCAAAAGTTTCTCAATGTAGGGTTGTGAGGGAGGCCCTCTCTGAAATCTGGGACCGTCACTGCCAGTAAGTGTAACTTAGCCTTTCTCAAACTTGCATCCACTCACTATTCTTCTCTATGAGCTGTGCTGGCTGGGACTGATGGAAGTTGTAGTTCAAAATCTCCGCAGGGTATCAGAGTGGAGGAAGGTTGGCACAGAGGGCGAGATGAAGAAAATGCAAGTCCTGGAACAAGGCAGCTTCCCGTTGACCCATTTATTGACAAGCCTATCTGTGTGGACTCCACAATCACAGTTCTCCTGGGGGTCCCCCAGCTAAGGCTTTCTCTTGCCATCAGTCCCCTGCTTTGGGGTATCCATCTGAACTGAATCTGTAGAACAAGAGGCTGTGATGCTTGCCACTAATGGCGGAGAAGACCATCAAGGGCTACTAGTCCTGATGGCTCTAGGCCACCTATGGTATCAGAGGCTGGACATGGGCAGGACATGGGCAGGAGGTGCTACTGCTTTCCTGCGATCAGCTAGCTGGTCACTGGATGAACAGGATGCTGGACTGGGTGGACTCTTCATCTGATCCGGCACAGCTCTCGTTCCCTTAAGACAGAAGTTGATCCATTGCAGCAATGAACCAATTTGAGCTTAGAAATGGGTAAGTCCAAGCTGTTGCAGCCAGTGCCATTTAAGGCAACCTTCCCCAACGTGAGTAGGACTAGAGGTACCATGTACCCCAGCCATGGCTGTGTTGCCTAAGGATAATGGGAGTGATGCGCCAAGGTGTCTGGAGAACATCGACTTAGGAAAGACTATGCCGGGCTGCAAGGCTGGATGCGAAATCAGATGGCTCACAGCTCTCTCGATATGCTGTACACGCCTCATATCTTTCCCCCATTACGGCTCCTCTGGCATGGAGATGCAAGCTAATCCTGAGTGCTTCCATGTGGTGCTATTTATTTAACAGTGAAGCCATTCAAAGGGCTGACTCACACGCTGGCCAAGCCCCAACCATTCCACCGAACCGAGCAAAACCACACAAAGGAAGGAAAGCCGCCAGCCACCCAGCCCCGCAGAGCTCTTTAACCCTTCTCTCAAGCTCGGCCCCATCGCAGCTCAAACGGAGGCAACGGTCTGTCTGCTCTTCCAGCTCCTCAGGCAAGTATAAGATCCCATACATTAAAGGGCCGACTGCTGCAGCAGAGCTCCGACTCCCATTGACCTGGCTGACTGACATGCAAAGGGTCTTGCCACGAGAGCCGCCACTGATGTTCTTATCTAACCTCCCTCAATAGCTGTGTAAGAAATAGAACACCTGGAGTCCTATATACAAACTACTGCAAACTACGGGGTACCCTTCCAAAATCTCAAACGCTCACATCCCAGTGTTTATGCTAACACCCCCCTCTGAATGTCCAAGTTGCCCACCCACACATGTTGCTGAAGGCAGAACAGCTTCTGGTCCAAGGAGGGGGCTCAAAAAAGTAGCCATCTTGGGACTTCCCAAGCTCTTGGTGGGACCCTCCTGGGCCTGAAGCTCCTTCTCCAACAGCAGGCTTTCCTGGTAGTGGCTGCCAAGTCCAAGAAGCGGCCAAGTCAAATCTCCCACAGTGCCCCAGACCAATGCCACCTTCGAGGCATCGTGCGGAATGTCAGCTGGCAGGTCCCCAGACATGGCTACTCTGGAGCAGGGCGAGCATCTTCTCCCAGGAGGTGGGACAGTCAGGCAGCACACAAATGCATCAGGCACTGACACTGTGGGCCCGTCTGGAGGTTCGGTTCTCGCTTTTGTGCACCATCCCCAGCTGCTCTGCAGGTCAATGTCGGGCTGCCCAGTGCCCCAATCTGGCCCGCAGGATTTTCCAAATGGCCACCACCCCTTTCTCTCAACCACACAGCACTTCCCAGCTTTTGTGCATGTTTCCTAGTTCTACGATGCTGCAATGCCTCTTCCAAGGCAGTGAGGGCTTTAAGGTAAAATAGGCCTATACCTCCATTTACAAGAGGATTTCATGGTGACCATTCAGAAAAAAGCAGTGCCAAGTCCCACATTTCCATCAATTTATTCCAAGGGCAGCAACTTGTGTCCTTCCAGATGTTTGGCCTGCCAGTCCAGCACCACTGGCTATGCTGCTGGCTCGTGTTCTTGGAAGCAGCAGAGCAAGTCACCTGGAGGGACACAAGACAGTGCCTCCAACCCCCAACTCAGCAAGATGATCCAAAAGAATACCACAAACAGCAGAACCGAAAGCTGCTTAGAGATCAAGTATGATCTATGGCATCCCTCCCCAACCTTGAGGCTTCTGGACACGTTTGGACTGCAGCACCCAGAATTCCCAGTCAATGTCACTCCTGGATTGTGGTCCAAATGCCTCTGAAGGGCACCAGGTTGGGGAAGGCTGATTTATGGAGCCCCGCTCCCTCCATCTTTCTTCTGCAAGAGGTTATTCATAAAAGCCATCAAAACTAATTCTGTAACAAAACTAGGCCTGAACCCAGACTGTCAAGATAATCTGGATCTCCAAGAAGAACCAAAATTGCAGAGACATCACCATTTCAAGCACTTCATCCCAAAAAGGAGCATTAATGACAGGGTGAGAGTCACTATAAACATCCAGATACAGGGACCTTCAGGAGTGGGTGCACCTGGACCTCCTTCAGAACAGTATCTACCACTCCATCTTGATGTTGGACAACTGGTCCAAGTTCAGAGGCAACAGTCTCATTGCTGACTGTGTTTCTGTTTCTTGCTAAATTTCTGTGGCGCTCCAGTTTCAGGGGCATCCCTCATGAAAGGCCTCACTGGCTTTGGCTAGTGAGAGCTGAAAGCCCAGCTTCTCATCCTTGCTATAAAAGCTCATTTTCACAATGTCCATGCAGATTTATCTTAACGAATGCAAGTCACACTTGACAGCTGTCAGCAGCAGGCATTAGCTAGCAAGTCTCGGCACGTCCAGAAATGCGGGCTTTGCAAACAATTGGGAAATGGACGGCCCGACCTCACACCTGCACCACTATGCAAATGTTCCCAGTGTATTGCAACACAAAGATGGGCTTCCTTTTGCCAAGCCAAAGTCATTCTTTGGCAGCTCCAGGGCCCCGATGCTTGGCTGTAAGTGATACGTAGGCAAGTCTCTGTGCTCAAAGCCAGAGAGAATCTTGCAGGATGCGGAATGGAAAAATGCTCTTCAGAGAAAGCAAGAGAGAATCAGGCAATGCTGCTAACAGGCAGCCAGGGCTAGGAGAGGCATGCAGTTTTCATAAACATGTGGATTCTGCTCTCCCAACAAAAGGTGTTAATGCACCTTTGGGACAATCCTGTTCCATTATGACTCATTGGGAGAATACACAGTGTGTTGTGTCGCAGGCTGCATAGCAATGAGAAAACGTTTCCAGCTGCTTGGATTCCTTCCTACATGGGAGGCCAGATAATCGTTAGCCTTAGTTCATTTCTTCCCATTCCTCCATTCCCCACAAAGCCCCACCCCAGTTTTTCTGCAAGGCCAGCCTCTACCAAGTATACTTTCTAGCTGAAAAATGAGAAACGTACCAGGGGAAAGTTTGAACCTGCATTCTGAGGGAGCGTCTAAGCCTAGATGCGAAGCTGGCGGCCAAGCTGTCCAGAGCTGAGGCAGCCAAATACAGCTGAAGGGAGACAACTGGCCTCGAAGAACAGCCCCGGGAAGGCAGATGCCGAGAAATGAGGCAATGTCAATGCTTTCTCAACTAGGTAGGAAATACATGGTGAGGGGGATGGATATGGGGTGAGGGATCACGTCTCCTATTTTATATATAGAGGGGATTCCTTATTGGGTGGCCCTGTTGGAAGGGTCAACCAATCAAAATCTAGTTTAAGCATACAGAGCTTTAAGAAGGGAAAGCAGCCTTGAGGCTGCCCATCAGCACTTAGAGTCTGGCCAACAAATTCAATGGGCACCCCTGAAACCCTTCCCTACTATGGTGCTTCTATTTAAATTATACTAATCATTGCAATACATATGCATTAGCATTTGCAAATCACAGGTATCTCGGTGGCCTCTCATGGCTTCATTTTCGGTGATGCCCAAAGGAGAACCCTGCAGCTGGATCAGGACCCAAGTCATAGAGGGAAAGGGTCTTGCCAGTCGACTCTGCATGGGCAAAGGGAAGGAACAGCAGCAGCCAGGCAGATGAGGGCAGGTGCATCGAAACGGCCAGGGAGCTCCTACCTCGCACATCTGAAGCTGGAACGTGCGGCGCTCCTTCTGCAGGTCCTCCGAGATTTCCACTGCTGAGGGGTCTGCCTGAATTACTCCAGATAACTTGGCTCGCTCCTTCTCTTTCTCCAGCTTGGTGCTAGGAAAACAAAGAACAAGCAGATTTAAGGCACAGACCTCTGTACGCTTAGAGAGAAGAAAGCCCTAGAACTTTTGCAGGCCTTTTGTCTGTAGAAGCATGTGCGGCATTGCACCTTCAGGTTCATCTGTGGTGCATCACCAGCTTCCCCTTGAAGATCACTCTAAGCCCAGCAGACAATACTCCCCATGGGTGGAAACCTCAAGAATGTGGGCCAGAACTGGCCTTCCAGCTTCCCCAGGTAGTCATATCTTTTTCTCCTAGTCCTACCGCATTTCATCAGACTGCCAAAGCTTTGGTGGCATTCCAGCATTCACACCTTTACACCCGCCTAGATCAAAGGTTGCATTGCCTCTCCTAAAGCTAAATTACACGCACTTTAAGCTAAAAATGCTGGTATTTGGGGGTGCTTTAAAGTGCCCTTTGCCTTTGAATGTGGTTCCCCATCCCTGACCTAAACAAGAGTTTACAGATGCTCAACACAGTCCACGAATGTACCTGGGCAACCCCCAGGCTCCTACCTCCTCTCCAGCAAAAGAGGGAGAAAGGCAGCATCCCATTCACTCCAGAAGCCAAAGGACCCTGTTATGTACAAACTCAGGGAACTGTGGATTGTTCTATCTACAGTTATAGTTATAATGAATCAGGATCAAAGCTGAAACTGGAGTGCAAAGAGATAGAAGAGAGCTTGGAGCTCTTCCATAGCCTCTGCAGAGAGCCTTTGTCCCGAAAATGTCAGCAGCTTGGGAGCCATTCCATTTGGCCACCTGAACTGTCTCCACCATAGCAGGTTGTGATAGCAACCGTAATTTTAAGAACAAGGGTTTGAGCTTGTTTATTTCTTTCTCCTTCTCCAGCCTTTTGGGTTTAGTGTAAGACCCTAGGGGAAGCCTTGTGGCTAAAGAGCAGGATAAAGATGCATTAATTCAGCAAACTGAGAGGGGAAGGGTTCCTCTTTCTACCTCTTGGATTAAGCCACAATCATCTAAAGAAGATTTCCCTCATCCCAGTGTCCTGCAGCTATGTTGGACTGCAACTCTCAATTTGATAACTGTGGAGGCCACCAGTTTGCCAGACAGAAACTGTGGAGGAGCACTTCATACCTGGTACGGTCTCCAGCTTTTACCATCTATTAATGTGCAATGTGTGTGTGTGAGAGAGAGCTTGCACAATTTTGCATGAAGCAACCATGTGGTAGAAAACCTTTCTACACGTTGCTGACTATCTGAAATTGCCCATAATTTGCCACAGCTCTACACTATTTCACAACTTTCGGGACTGATGCAAGAACCACTGAGCCCTCTCTTCCTTTTCACATGCATACACATATGTGTGTTTTAATCACAGCAAAAAATAAGAACTTGGACCACAGACAGCTGTCCTATACTACACAGCCGCCCCCAGCCTGGTACCCACCAACTGAATTGGACTCCTAGTGTGCTCTAGGAGATTGCTCTACCATGTCAGAAGCACGGATCCTTCCAGCTCAGGATTGTCTACAGCACCATTCCTGACCTGGTATCCTTCACAAGTGTTGGAGTACAACCCTCATCATCTCAACCAGTGCAGTTGGTGATGGGGGGTATTACAATCCAACACCTTTGGAAGGCATTCAACCTAGAGAAGTCCAGCCTTCCAATATACATAGTCACCCCAGAGATTTTAGAGCAGTGTTTTCCCAGTCCCACCCAGAGATGCTGAGCAGTTAACCCCCTAGACTTTCTGCTTCGCAACCATGCGCCATGGTGGCCACATGTCCTCCCCCACAGAACACAGTCCTAGATTTGAAGGGCACCAGAGGACCATCCTCTCTTTGGAGTCTGTCCAGCCCAAATCCACTGTAAAGGTAAAGCATCTAAGAACTGCTGCCCACCTATCGCCAGCACCTGCAAGACAGGCTGAGAAAGGAGGCAACAAGTCACCTGGCTGTGCTCTTCCACCCTACAGCAAGATCCACCACCTCTCTGAACTACAATCTGTATTTCTAAATTAGACTCTTCATTATCTTACCATATAGAAGTTTGATGCAAATCAGCACTGCCTGTTTCGAAGAAGTATTGCCTCTTTTGTGTATACGATTCATAGTGAAGAACTGTGGGTGTCTCCTAACAGTACCACTTGGGATCATCCCATGAAGCTGACTGGTAGGAGATTTGGGAAGAAAAAAGGGACAGACCTCTTCACGCAGATCAGCCGTGAATTTACTTCCACAAGTGGGAGTGGTGGCCACCCAACTGCAAGGCTTTCAAAGGGGATTAGGCGAATCCACGGAGAGGTGGCTGTCCGTGGCTGCTAGTCCTAGCGGCTCTATGCTACCTTCAGCTCACAGGCAGTGCGCCTACACACACCACTTGCTGCTGAACATGGGACGGTGCACATAGGTCCTGATTTGGCCTACTGACTGATGCAGCTGGTCGGACAGACCTTGGTCTGATCCAGCGTGACTCTTAGGTTCTGATCTGCAGCGTCCTTAACTTTGCTCTGCCGCCGAGGTCTGAGCAATACTGCATGGCACAGCAGGCCATTATTAAAGGGCAGTTGTCTGGTTGGTTGGTTGGTGAACCTAAGTTCCTCCTCCTCCTCCTCCTCCTCCTCCTCCTCCGTTACTGACCACACACGCCCAGCCCACCTCCGTGTGGGAGAGGAGAGAAAAATTGGCCTGCTCCAGAGCCAGAGGCAGCCTGGGTTACTCACACTTTGGTCTCGTAATCCTTCCAAGCCTTTTCAATCTGCTTCTTGGAATCCTGCCGAGCAAAAGGCAAAGTGAGGGTGAGGGGAGAAAAGAGAATTAACAGGGGAATCACTGAAGAAAAACAAGGGGCCAGTATCGCTGGGAACAGGGAGCAGCAACCCCCCTGCCGAGCCAGCAAAGTATTTCCCTGTGCCAAGACCGTGCAAACAGAATATCTCAATTACAACAAGGAGAAGGCCTCCACTGTTAACCCCGTCTCGGCATGAGCATCCCCTGGGATGGGATGCTGGAGGCGAGAAATACGAATCCTCCTTCCAGAGCACCTGAATTGTTTCCGGAACACAAGCTTGCCTGGCCATCGGATACAGGGGCATCCGTTCCGCAGGCCTCTGGTGGCAGATTCATCATGCAGAGTGCCATGCAGATGTTTATGTGAGGCCAGAGAGAGCTTCGTAGAAGAGCCTCATTAAATGAAACGCAAAGACTTTATCAGTAGGGAGGTGGTGGGCTCCCCCACACTGGCGGCTCCCAGATGCAGCTAGAGAGTCATCTGTCAGAGGTGCTTTAACCTGAGACTTTTGTGCCGAGCGGAGGCTGCACCCTGTTGCTTTCCTGCCCCTTCCAGCTCTACTGTTCGATGGCTTTTTTTCCCTTTAAAGACAACTGCCTAAGCCAGAGATGGAGAACCACAGGAATGGGACCCAAATCCAGATGCCTCAGTCATAATCTGGGCCCCTGGAACTCTCCAAATGGTCAGCCCCCAGTGTTGGACCCCTCCAAGGGCCTGCCCCACATGTGTCTGTTTCAGCATCAGGGAGCTGAGAAGGGCCCTTCTTAGGCAGCAAAGTAATTAAAACAGGTGTAAATACACACCCAGAGAGACAGATCTGGAAATCTATTACTGGCCATTCCTTCATTGATAATTTATTTATCTTCTCCTTAAATTCTGTGCATTCGCACACATACACAGAAAAGAAAGGGGAAGCTATATTGTGACTGGAACAAGTTTTGACTTGCATGTCTGCCTGATGCAGAGCAGAGTGAAGACTGGCAAGTCACCTTGCAAAGCGTTCAGTCCCCCACCCGGAAAGGCTCAATGAGCATTAACCACCACCTACAAGCGACTCGGCCCCAGTGGAGGCATCCCATGCTGCACACAGCGTTAGCCACAGTCATGGAATGCACCCAGCAGTGGCGGGGCGGGGGGGGGGGGGACTGCTCCTCCCTGGCAAAAAACTGACACGAGAGAAGTCCCCTAAACGGTACAGAAAGTGAAGCGAGCCTGCCCTGGGTCGTGAAGCTGCTTTTCCAGCCTAGCCAGTTTCCTCTGGACCAGAGAGAAAACGAAACAAGTGCAAAGAGAAGCTGCTTACTCAGTTTTCTAGCATGCGCCCACGTCCCCGGCCCGCACCACATGGGACCACAAGTCTGTGGAACGGTCTGGGCAAATGAATTTTACAAAATAAACTCAACGTGCTGATAATGTGAGCTTCCATTTAAAAGGAAATGTAAAAGCAGCCGCCTTCTGGTGCTGATTTATTTTTCATTTCTGTATCGCCAAAGCTCTCCAGGTGGTTTCGAACAGAGGTGCATGTCATGTACGAACCTAGACAGTGGTCAGGCTACTTGTGCATGGCTGAAAGGAGGAGCCACATTTCCATAAGATTTACATGTGCTCATTGCATGTTCAGATGCAAGTATTAAAATCCTTACTGGATTTAAACAGGCATGCAATAAACCTCACCATAGCAGAGAAGAGTCTCACCAGTGCACCTGCTCAGTTCAGGTGCTAACTCTTGATGGGGAACCTGAAGTCCCCTGCTGCTCTCCCTTCTTAAGGTTTCATCTCTTTAAATTAGGCACGGACCAGGCAGACCTTCAGGCGAAGGATGCCTTCAAAAGAGGACTGGCCTCTGTAGAGTAGGGCATGTGGCCAACCATCTACACAGACATTCCCTGGAGAATTCTCAGAACAGAATAAGGTGAACAACCAGGCAGGATTCTTGTTGGAAACGCCCGGGACCACTGCTGGCCAGGGCAATCCCTCCTGTTCAAGATGGGCCAGACACAGAACAAGGCAGCTTCCCAAGACCTTTCTAAAAAAACAACACTCCGGGGGTGGGGGGAGAAATGCATCACCAGAAAGAGAGGACAGTGCTTTGCAAAACATGTGTATATGCTGCACAAGCAGAGATACAAGATGTGAAATAATTACAATATATCTAATGGTAATGGGAAACCTTCCATTTGTGCGCTTGCTCAGTCTGTTGTTGAACTTGATGGGCAACTTCGAAGCCTGCTCAACTTTCTTAATTTGCACAAAATACTTGTGCAAATTGGAAACTGAGAACTGCATGGTTTCAGTATAATTTGTATAAAGTGCATGCATTGTGCAAATTGGGGCTGTTGCTAGTATACTTGCCGTACAGAAGCATTCTCCTCTCACTGAATAAGCAACCTTGACTTTTCTGACAGTCAATTTCAGATTTGTGCCAAATCAGCCCTCAATTGTGCATCTGTGAGAAATTGTGTGAATTTGTTCAAATCTGTGCAATTCACACGATCTGCAGAGCAGAGGCCTGAATTTTGCCCAAATATCCCTGGCTTTTCACAAAACTCGTACATATTGCAGCCTGCTTTGAAAACAGAAGTCCATGTGCTGGCTTGATGCACATCCGACCAAGGCAGCACCAGCCCAGGATCAAAGGAATGTGGGGTCAAGTTGAGAAATCCCAGAGGAATTCCACCCCACTACTGAATTCCACACACATCCCTAGTCCTCTTGTAAAGCAAAGCACCCCAGTTGAGAAGCTTCTTCCACTCAATGCAAACCTTCCATTTTCTGAGTCAGAAGCAGTGGCACCAATCCGGATTAGAGAAATAAATCTGAATTATGCTAGCATTTGCAAAGGCTATTTTATCAATGGACATGGAGCAAGATAGCCAAAAATAATTACAAGTCTGGGAGAGCTAGTTTTCTCTGCAGTAACTGTGGATGCTGCAGCTGCTCCTTGCGTGATTACTCAGCAGCTCGTCTTGCAGGGTTCAGAGGGTTTGCTCCCAATCAGCCATGCACAGCCCAGCAAATCTATTGTGTATAATAGCACCTTATTATGAACTTTAGCTGAATAGGTATATTTATCACTCCTCTGCAAGGTTTACTCTCTGAGCTTCTTCTACAGCAATGCTGAGGTCTACTTGCAAATTGGGATTCACAGAACTGCTTTAGGCACACAGAAGGTTCTTAAGTTTGGAAAGGTGTTCTTTCCCAAGCTGCTTCCAGAACAGCCCTCCTTCAAAAGATGTTCGCATGGAGAGAAAGTCTCAAAATGGTGCGTGGTCCATCTATTAAACTGCCTGCCTTAAGATGTGGTGGCCACTGCTTAGGTGGTTTTAGTGGGTTTAGGGTTGCTGAAGAACTAGCTCTCAGTCATGATGGCTGCACTCCATCCCCAGGTTCAGAGGCGTGTGCTCCAAGGGCTTCCCACAAGGATGCAACTAGCCACGACGAGAGAATACTGGGCTAGATGCATCTCTGGCCTGATCCAAAGGCGCTCTCTGTAATCCTTCCTGGGAGCACAGCAAGGTGCTCTGCTTTACCAAGGACTGTTCTCTGTTTGAAGAGCGAACCAAGCACAGCCCTCTCCTGGAAGGTGCTTCTGACTGCCAGTCCACACCCAGGTAAAGGATAAAGAGGGGAAGGTAGCCGAGGCTCGATGGTGTCCGTCTAGAGTTAGCACCCCAGTTGCAGACTGAGCAGGGATGGTGCAGACTGCCAGAGAAAGTTGCAGTTGAAGAGCTGGGGAGCGGACAGAACAGGCCGAGTGGCCACAACGTTTCTTCTGGCTCTTCTCTTTTGGACTGGACAGCCCTTCAACCAGAGGACCGTCCACTGTCAACTGCCAAGCTGTCAGTGCGATGGAAGCGTCACAGGGATCCGTTCAGCCACAGTCTCCAGGCTCACGTGCCACCTTTGATCCCCAGCCCCAAAAATATGCATTATGCCAAACTGCTTAAAGAACACCTACCAGCCGGCCATCTTTAAGCTGCCCTTTCAGCAGGCTGTCCAGAGGAAATGAGACGATGTTGTTCAGATTCTGCACCTGGAAGAGGCAAAAACAGGGTTCCAGCTAAATTCCTAAGCCAGCCCTGTGTTTCTTTCTAAGTATTTTGTCTACACACTTCCAAAAAAGAATGAGATGTATATAGGCCCTATGACAGCAGTCCCCGATCTTTGGGGGTTGGGGACCACATGTAGAATTTCAAAAGTGTCTTGTGGGGGCTCTCACAAAATGGACGCCACAGGGGTTTGCCCATTCACTAAATGGTTACAGTGGTAAGTGTTGCCAATCACAAATCAGGGGGCTGAAAAACTGCAACTTGTCCAAGGACCTAACCAAGGGGGGGTATCTGGATTCCAAAACAAACCACAGGTTCTCCTCCTGGGCTTTTCATAGTTAACAACCCATAGTTTAACCATAATGCAAGGTTCTAATGGAATGACAAACCATGATTCAATAGCAACTCATATCTCACCCAAACTCAACCCACAGTCTGGGTTTCCATTGCCTGTGAAGCAGGTCATTGTCTTGAGGACTACGGCAAAAAAGACAATCTGCTGACCTGGTGCTGAACATAATTCAGTTGGAATAAACCATGCTTGATTTTAGAAGAAAAATAACAGAAAATATTACTACTAGCAGTAATAATGGAACATATGCGCATGTTCTGTACATACCTAAGTATAAAGGCATGTACCCAAGTATAAGGATTCATTGAAAAAGAGTCACAGGTTCTGGGCCAACCGCCATTAGCCCCAGCATGGCACTCTGCTGGCTTAGGAGTGGATTCTGAGCCACGACTGGGTGATCATGTTGGGGGCGGGGGTTGGGCTGTGGGGTCCTGAGCTGACCCTGGGCCCAGTCCTACTCCACGCTAGAAAAATATTGCTGGCTTTTCACCCGCTTTCCTCCTAGCCCATTTGAGGATGGTCTGTGGAAATAGAAGCCATGCCTCCTGGCCCAGAGACAAGGAGTTCCTCCATTTTTCTCCCAGCATGACAGGCCTTTTCCTGTCCAGAAATCTTCTGGCTTCCCTAAAATGGTTGCAAGATGTTCAGCGTTGTGCCCTCTGCCACAAGCTACGCCTGCATGAGGGCTGCCACAACACAGAGGTGGTCAGCCTGCTCTCCCTCCCACCCCAATACCAGAACCTGGGCCTGGAGGTTGCGGGAACCTTCCAGCCAAAAGCATAACATGTGGAGACACAGAGATGAGTCTGCGAACTCAAAAGCCTGCAAGACAAAACCACACCCAGCATCCAAGTCTCCAACAGACCTCCAGGAGGAGAGAAAAGAAACTATCAGGAAAAAATTGAAAAAACCACCAAGTGAGCTTGAGGTTAGTCCCAAGAACCTACACATTTTTAAAAGATCGCTGCCACCCACCGACATGCCAGCTGGAAAGACACGAACAGAATCAGGGCTGTCCCTGCTGATCAAGCACAGATGTGTTACGGAGACACAGAGGAGGAAGCTGAAGCAGCAGCGGTCAGGTACACAGCTGGCTCAGGTGAATCACCAACAGCATCTTCCCAATGGGGTGGAAGGACACCCCAGATTTCCCCAGTAGTTAGAGGGCAGCCACAACCACACGCAATCAGAAGGTGTCAGGTTCAAGGACCTGTCTCTCCAGGTCCAGTAAGGGGGACACTGATAAATCGCCAAGAGAGAAGGCCAAACAAAGACCTTTCTTTTCTCTCAGGTATTTTATAGGCCTAGTTCTAGATTTTTACAGCCAGACCCTTATTTTACTTAATAAAAGCCCCTTTAAATATCAAACAGTATTATAAGCTGTTCAATGGTATTTTAGGTTTTTTTGTTTGTACTCTGCCCAGAGAACATTCGTTATCAGGCAGATTCGAAATGTTATAAATAAATATAAAATGAAATTAAATACAGCAGGGCTGAGGAAACTCCTTCTACCCAAAGGCTGAATCCAGTTTTGCACAGGTTCTTTGGGGTCACTTTCCAGTGGTGGGAAAGACTAAAAGCAAAGGGAGGGGGGCTCAATCCCCCCCCACCCGCCAGTATGTTGTAGCTTAATGAGCTTGCTACCAGCAGCTAATTCTTAGAAAAAGAAGTTCAGCTTTGAGAACAGGGAAACTGTGGGAAAGTACCAAATGATTGGTGCTTGGAAAAAAGGGGAAGGGGGCATGGTCATTTGATGACCCCCGCACTGAGGTTCTTCATCCCTGAAATAGAATATGCCTTCAAGCGGAGGGGAGAATCCTGCCTTTTAAATCTTGGACTGCCGCTGTGCGTCAGTGTGGACCTAAGAGAGCCGGATGGACCAGGGCTCTGACTCACCAGGGCAGCCTGGTACATCCTTTCTCCATCTAGCCTCCCATGCTAAGTTATACTGCTGGAATCAAGCTCAATTAGGTTAACCAGGGATAGGTTTTCGGTGGATAGATCTGGTACTCCATACAAAATGCTCAGAATTCTTTATTCCTGGGTGTTTGTCATCTTTGCGATCAGCCTCCAGTTGGTGGATCTTGTAAAGCAACACCTCCGGCCTCCCTGCCCTTCCACTTCTTTCACTATCCCCTTTATTTCTCTACCCATCTTCTATGGAGTCGCTGCAGAAATCCTTGGAGGTTTTATTAAAAGGAGGTGAACTTGCTACTGGGAATGCTGTGGGGGTGACAGGTGGGAAAGCCAGCTCAGGCTAGCACCAAGAGAGGGGGAGACTTCTAAACAGTTGCGATTGTACAAACTGCCTCTAAGCTCCACCCGATGGAGGAAATCCACCCCCACCCCCCGGGAAGACCCCTTGCAGAGATGTTTTTGGGGGCTGCATTACACAGAAAGCAAAAGGGGCAGAGCTCAGAATACCAGCTGACTGTCGCTTCAAGTGCTCGCTGCCAATAGCTGACCCTCTGGAGAGGCACGTCCAGCTTTCCAAATGCAGAGTGCACAAAAGCTGGGGGATGACCACACACACACTGATTTGGGGAAAGGAAGGGGGCACGGCCACCCAGACTTGGCTTAGAAAGCCGGAATTTGTCCCATGGGTCTGAGGCTCTGCACCCCAGGGCGAAAGAAGGCACACTCCGTGTGATCTGTGTTGTGTTTTCTCCCAATGCACACTTTCCGGAAGTCCTTCCAGCTTCACAAAAGGGCCACCAAGTTGGGGGGGGGGGGCTTCCTTTTTAAAATACACACAAAGAAGCCCAACATGCTCTCTCACACACAGAATGAATTGCATGCTTTTACGTTCCAAGCCGTAAGCAGCATAGCCTGTGCTCAGGAGCTCCCGGCGAGAAGCTGAACGGAGGTGGGGACAGAGATTTAACAGTTATTAGTACAACACTGAGCAAGCAAGGCAACAGGCAGGGCATGTTCTCCATCCCCAAAAGAGGAGCTCTCTGGCCTCTCCAGGTATGACTGGCATTAGGCGGACTCCCACAGCAGAGGCACTTTGATCTTCACAAACATCCCTCCCTCCAAGCACACAGGCCACCTCAACGCGGCCTGTCTTCCGACCGGGGTCTGGCACAGACGCCACGCTGAGAACTGGCTCCGCACCAGGAAGGAAACGTGCTTCCTGGAGAAGCCGTGCGCTAAAGATAGGAAGCCGTTGCCCAGGACGCAAGAGGCACGTGCAGCTGCAAACACGCACCTTCCTCCTGAGAGTCTGCCACCGCATCCGCCATTTCTGCTGCTGCAAGAGACTGGACGGTGCCGCCCCTTCAAGGCCCGTGCATCTGGAGACACGCATCTACCCCCCTGAATGCGGGGCCAGACGGACTGCTCACTATTGTCGGTGGTGATGAATCCTGAAGCGCGGGCAGGACCGGCCCTACCATGCGGCAGAGTGCGGTGACCGCCTCAGGCGGCAGGAAGGGCCAACTCCAGGCTGACACTCAGCAGTCGGACTGCTCCCCTCTGCTCGTGGGCAGCGCGGTGCATCCCTCACAAGGTCCCTCCGCCCTAGACTTGCCTGCTGCCTCAGATGTGTTGGAGGTGCTACCCCATTGCCGGAGGTGTTGGAGGATGCGAACCATCGCTGAAGACTGACTGCAATCCAGTTGTCAGTCCAGGCAACATCTGTGTGCAGACTTCAGAAAAGGTGCCATCCTGGCCTTTCCCTCAGTTAGCAAGATATCTTGAGTGGACCCAGAGGACTGGATCTGTCCTGACGGTCTCCAGGGATGTGCGCACAAGGTATGACCACAGATGCAGGCAGCTTAATCCATGTCAACAAAACAACTCGAGCAGTTTCCATCGCCACTGGATCATTTCCTCACTTGCTGAAGTTATTTTATCTGCTGCCTTGAACAGCAGAACCCTCTCATACAGCTACTGGGTCTGAGCTGCCCATTCAAGAGCAGCCCACCTCAAAATACTACGCATTACAACAGGGATGGCTCATAATGATTGAGTGCTGAGGGAAAACTCAGAGGAACACGGGACGCTGCTTTGCACCAGGTCAGATCCTCGGTCCACTGAACCCAGTACTGTCGACAGCCCTACCTGGAGAAGCCAGGTGTGGTGTGCCAAAAGACTTGGGAGCCAAAATTAGGCCACTGAGACTCAAGAGGGGGAACCAGCATGCTTGGAAGAAGTCAAGGTATGCAGAAGTGCTGGTAAAAATAACAACACAAAAGCGTGCAAGCACACACTCAGGAGGAACAGTGCAGAATGTTCAACAGCTTTCAGGAAACACTAAGCAGGCTATAAATGCAATGTAATGGTCATTCTTTTCCAGGCATTCGGACATTAGTAGTGGCCCAATTGTTGTGGGCTGCTTTTGTGGTGTTCATTCTAGGCCACAGAATCACAGAATAGCAGAGTGAGAAGGGGACAAGAAGGCCAGCAGGTCCAACCCCCTCTTGTTGCAGGACACCAAGTCACACCATCCCACTGGGGTGGCTGTCCAGTTTTGCCTTGTATGTCTCTACTGTGGGAGAGCCCACCACCTCTCCAGGCAGCTGGTTCCACTCTCATATTGTTCGAACTGCAATATGAGAAAACTAGGTATCAGAAACTTTTCCTGATATCTAGCCTGAATCTGGGTTGTTGCAACTTGATTATTTTGTGCCCTATACTTCGGTATCAGTGAGAAGAGATCTTGAACTTCCTCTCTGTGACAGCCTTTGAGGTACTTATGGAGCGATATCATATCCCCCCTCCGCCTTCTCTTCTCAAGGCTGAACATGTCCAGTTCTCTTGTCTAGGGCAGCGTTTCCAAACCCTGGCTCATTTTTGTTGCCATCCTCTGGACCTTTTCTATTTTTTTCTTCATCTTAGGGTTATGCTGGGAATGTTTGTAAGGTAATGAAGCTAAGCTTTTTGCTCTCTCTTTGAGAAGCAGCTGAAGCTATCCTTCAGCGGTCCTCAGTATTAGAAACACTAGGAAGCAGGGCATACCATCATTCCCAGCAATGTTTGTGGGGAACAAGATTCAGCCATTTTGTCTTTCTAAAATCCTTAGGAATTTGCCACTCCTCAAAAGACTAATCCAACCTTCACGGGAAATCCAGCCTCACACCCTGCAGCAGAAACTTACCAAAACCACAGCGCTGAGTTTTTCAAGCCCAGTACTAACATATGCATGAAGGAGAGCTAACTTAAAGGGCGATCTATAAGGAGAGCTAACTTAAAAACAGTGTTAAAAACTGTGTCCCGTATTGCAGGTACAGATTCTGGTTTGAAGGCTCCCTAGCCTAATGTATAGTTTTTCATCAGAATGAAGACTGGGGCAGAGGTCCTGGGAACTCTTTTCTAATGAACCAAACTCTGCCCCTTACCAGGTTCTTGAAAAGCGCCGTCACTTCCCTGGTGAAGACGGCCAGATTCAGGAAGCCCGTGGAAAGCTCGTGATTGTTCTGCGAAAGGTGGTTGTTGCCGAAGTTCTCCAGGGTCTCACTGTACTGCTCCTCATTCTCCACATGTGCTAAACAAGGCGACAACAGAAAGAGGGAGAAAAGAATCAGGAGAGAAGGTCTCCGGAGGTTCAGATGCCAGCGTGGAAGTAAACAAGGGTGAGTTATGAACCTAACAGCAGCCCGGCGGGATCCAGGGCCAGCTCAGCCATGTGGCTGAACGAGGCTGCAGACTCTGAGGGGCATGAAAGGGCAAAAAGTTGTTATTCAGATTGTTGTTGTGCTTTTACTGCCGGGTGCCTGTGGGAGAAAGGCACTCGCAGGATTTTCCAACACGTGTGCCAAAATTAAATGGCCTAGAATGAACACTGAGCACCTCAACACGGGAGACTGAGGCTGCTCTGCCTTGGCAACCAAATGCTTCGGGTCGCCCTGGGCTGAATCAAAGCAACGGCCCAGCAAGTACAGCTTCCTGTTTCCCAAAATGGCCAGTCAGATGCCTGCACGGGAGAGCCCTTCAGAAATCACCAACCAACAGGACATGCGGCTAAGAACGCATGGGCTTTGCTTCATCGATCCTGCCTGAGTTCCAGATTGTCTGGCATCTTCCATTCCATCATCAGCTCATCAGTGGAACCGGATTTCTTTACCAGAATTCCATTCTACTTGCACCAATTTGCATAAGTGCATTAGCACTAATGGGCACCAATGTGGTTTACACCCATGCATGTTAGGGCAAATCCCTCCCCAAAGTGAACATTCAGTCTGCAAATCTGCAGGATCTAGGCAACTTGGAAAGGTTTGCTATGGACTCTGCCGGCTGGATTCATGAAAAATGGGACTCAATTGAATTCGTTAAAGATTTCTCCAGCAGCACCAAAAAGAGGAAAGGAACGCACATATTATTTCCATATGCTAATTGATGTATGTAGGTGGAAATATAGAAATTATTACAATTTCAACAAAAATGCAATACATTTTCCCATTGGGTGGAAGCTGAGCGTTGTGCCTGCCAGTTCAGTCAATTGTTCAGAAGTGAACTGTGAACTGACAAGGGTTGTCGTGGATTTCTGTCACTAAACTGGATTTGGACAGGACGGCACTTCAAAGAGAGAGAGAGTGGTCCTCTGGATAAGAACACACAAGGCCCCCCTGCCAGTTCTAGCACAAAACTCAAGGATACTGGCCTCTTTCTGTGGATCACCTGGAGTTAAATGCTGGTTAGGATTCTTGCAAAAAGTTTCTGCAAGACTCTCAGATGAATTACGCTTTAACTTGAAAAGCGAGCTTGAGGAAGCCCTCTGGCTCTGTCCTGTACGTGTTTTTAAAGTGGATCACGGAAGACTGATATCAGATACAGCCTATGACAAGGTTTGTTATCTCCTACTGCCTAAAAGCAAGCCCCAGTATGACATCACGAAACACCAAAGCTTTTCTTAACTGCTGGGGAGGAAATGGCTGTCAGGGGATGTTTACAAACTGTACTGCTTCTAAGGCGAAAGCAGAAGGTCAGTCGCTGGGGGTGGGGGAAGAATGTAAAGAGTCTGAGTACTGGAAGGTCTGTTAGCTGAAAGTGAAAAAGAAAGCTCAGAGATTGAGTAAGAAAACTAAGGGGGGCAGCTAAGGGGAGTGTTGATTGTGCTTTAGTTGAAGAACTCACACAAAACATCTGTGTAACTGCAGCACTGGCAGCAAATCTGGCCAGTTCATCTAGCCGCTCTGAGACAATCATTTTGCAGAGCATGATCCTCTGCAAACAACAGACTAAGATATGGGGAATTGGGGGAAGCTCCAGGGCACAGTGAACCAGTGGGTGTGTTCCTGGGCAGCCCATTAGGCTGGAGTCCCTCTGGGAGACCCTATGTCCCATCATTCCTCCACCGTCACCCTCAAATCTTTCTGCCTAAGGCTCCCCCCTCTGCAAAATCAAATTCTCTCCTCTCCCTTGTCCATGCAACCCTTTTTAAAAATATGTAGATTAGCTCCTTTAAAGCAGAGGGTATAATCTGTAGAGTTTATGCAGATTAGCATATGGAAATCTCCCTGTGGGCATGAGACCCTGATCTTTTTGGTAGCTAGCAGCACCCCAAGCCCAAGCAAATTTCTCCAAAGCCTGAGGCTGGAAAATATATCATGGGTGACCAAGTGTCCTCATTTGCAGAGGATGGTTCTCCACTGGATGAACTGTCAAGAAGCAGTCCTCTATTTGAAGGTGTCCTCTACTTCCAGGGCTGTTCAGTCTAGTTATAAGGCGAAGAAGCACAAGAAAGGAGAGCGCAGCGGGCAACTCCAAGTGGCCCATCACTGCTGAGCACCTGGACAGCAAACAGTGCAGGTGCCAGGTCAATCCGCCTACGTGTGATGAGAAGCACTGCATACCTATTTCAATTAGTTGTCATTTTAAACGTGGCATATGTAAATGCTACACAGGTTATCAAGTTTGGTGATGAATTTTGTCCTTCTGAGCAGTGCAGAAGTGGTCACCTTAACATGCCACTTGCTGGCGAAGAAAGCCCAGGCTCAGTCCCCAGGGAGGAAAGTCTCCTTTCTGGCACTCCAGAGCTCCTGCCAATCGCTGCAGACACTGCACAAGGCAGCAGCGTCCGAAGCCCTGCATGCAGGACCAGCCTCGCTCCGAGCACCCATGCTGGCCGGCACCTGCCCTCCCATTCCCCGCAAGTCTTCCCTGCCCCTCCCCGCCCCGCCCCTGCCAAGCACATAGGCAGCGTTAACTTACTGAGCCCAGAAAGATGAATCGCTTTCACATATTTCCTGATCCTCTGGAGAATGGCTTGGTCCCCGTCCAGGCTCTGCAAGGCAAATACGTATATATAAAAAATTAAATACAAAGATTCGTCAGAGTCGCTGGGTACTGCCAAGGGCCAGTGGGAGGCAGAACAAGAGGGATTTGCCAGGCCACACAAAGTCCCTTTGAAGCGCCTGGCTTTGGCAGATGTGTGCGGCAGCTGTGCCAGGGTGCCCAAGCCTCGGATGGAGAGATCCCAGGTTCCAAGAGTAGCGGGGGGAGAGAGAGAGAGAGAGAGAGAAGGGGTGGGGTGGGGAGAGAAGCACTTGGCATGCAAAGGGCAGAAAATGAGGAACCAGGTCAGCGCATCCCTCCGTGCAATGGGCCCACTGCGCACCAGCGGTGCATAGACTTTGTGTGGGGAAGCACCCTGCCATTTGGAAGGGGTCTCCAGTTCCAGGCAATGGGAACATTTCAGCCCAAGGCACTGAACAAGCACTCCTAGTCCAAAGCAGGCTGGGCTGGGTGGACAAAGGATTTGGGGTGCTTGCTAGGAATGGTGAAAAAAGAGGAAAAGTGAAAAAAGAGGAAGTGTCAGCAAAGAGAGAAGGCTAAAGATGACTCCACTTTGCATGAGAGTCGTATCATCAAACACACACCTGCAATTTTAGAAATAACCATTTGATTTTAAACAGAAATTAAATAACCATTTGATTTTAAACAGAAGACTGTGACCAAGTCTTCCTGTGTAGCTACCTCCTCAACCTGCCACGCAGGTGCTACCTGTGCCTGGGCAACTCTCTTTACAGTTCTTTTATCTTTAAACTGGAATGGGGTAGAGCAGCCCATCCGATGAAGGATGCTTTTCAAGAGAGGGTGGTCCTCTTGCAGCCCATCAAGCGGGCAACTGTAAGAGATGCGTGGTCCCCCCACAATGGCAGCTTCACGGGGGAGCTTTTCTCCAGAGGTGACAAAGGAACAAAATCAGCCACTGTTCTCGTCTTCGTCTCAATGCACACACCCGGTACGCCAGCCCACTGCATGGCTCAAAAGCAGTTGCACTGGCTGAGCTGAATTGTCGTGCCATGGCTCTACTGGCAGGAAACAAGCCATGTGCAACAACCCATTATAAACAGTAATTACTGGAAAGAGAATGCAGCTAGGTGCTTGAGATCATCCTTCAAGAACTGGGAAGGGATGAAGAACTTAATTTATTCATTCATTCATTCATTCATTCATTCATTCATTCAGAGTTTTTGTATGCCATCCCATCACTTACAGCCTCGGGACGGCTCACATAAATAAATAAACATGATACAAATACAGTTAAAACCCGGAAACACCCTGGCTGCACAATTATAACCTACCGATAGTAAGCATTGTTAAAACTTCACAGCAGCCCTCCCCAGTCCAGGCAAACATCTAACCAGCCCAACACTCCACTCCCAACAGAGGACAGCCGGGTGGTAAGGCTCTCAGCTCGCACAGAGGGCACGATCCAAGGGAGCACAACCAGGGCTGCCATTGAGAGTCAGCACGGTTGGGTGCTTGCTGAGGGCCAGATCCAGCAGAGGTCCATTAACAAGTTGCTCCTCCCCTTCACCCTTGAAGCCTGCTTGCTCAACCGCCCCTCAGCCCGGCCCAGGCAGTGGTAACAGTGAGAAGGAAGAGCGGGAGATGCCCAGCCTGCTTGCTCCCTGGCACATCCCCCTGGCACAAAGCAGCTTTTATAAGCTCCTGATATACCAACCACATCCTTATCTCGACAACGATAGCCTTGCTAATTGCCCGTAACTTGACTAGCTTTATAGACCACCTTTCCCCCAAGAAGTCCAAGGCATGTACATGATCACAGTCCTCTTCCTCTTTTATCCTAACAACAACCCTGTGAGGTAGGTTAAGGTGAGACTCAATCACTGGTTCAAAGTCACCCAGGAAGATTCATGGCTAAATGGGGACCAGAACCTGGATCTTGAAGTCCCAGTCCAGCGCTCTAACCACTGCACCACACTGATACACAAGCACCCTCAACTTACAGAACTACAATGCAGAACAGGATGTTTCTATGCCAAAACAAAAAACTAACCTAAAATCCCTCCTTTCCTGCATTTAGCTTAAGACCCTGTAGCATCAATGAATTAGCCACACCAAAGGGTTAGCAAGAGATAGATTCTCCTGCTGCCTAACTAACACAATTAAAAATATGTATTTATGGCCTAAATTAATGCCTGTTTAAAGAAAAAGAAAGCCCTACAACTTCCAGCATCCCCCAGCCAGCTAGCCCTGCCAACTACAGAGTCTTAGAATCGGCAGAACCTTTTTCTGTCTGAACATGCACTCTTAAAACATCTATATACCACTTACCACATTAAAAAAAACCTCTAAGTAGTTTACAGGATGTAAAGCCATTTAAATACATTGTGAGATATATCAATACAATTAAGATACAGCATCGCTAAACAAAGATATAAACTGTAAACCACATATAGCTTGCAGTTGTCATGAGTCACTAAGAAAACACAAATGGACAAGTTTGCAAACAGATCGTGATATAAGGACCATGGGTGGCTGTGTGGACTCCCAGGTTCAGCAAATGCCTGCACAGAGAGGCTTCCAGCGCAGCTGTATGGATCAAGGCTGGGGTTGTAGCATCAAAACGTTTTTAGCCATTACACACCCTGTGCCTTTGACATGGGGAGGGCTGTTAAAGCATACAGCTGGAATGAAATACAGAGCATTTAAAGCCAGGAATTCTTGTACGAGCCAGTGGTCAGAGACGCCAAGGTCAGAGCTCATAAAAGGAAAGAAAGAAAGAATCATGAATTGCTCTGGGCCTGGGAGAAGGGTTAAGGAATACAGTACCCCCAAATAAAATCAAGACTTCAACGGGCTCTGTTGCACTGAGGGCCAGCATCATGCGTAGGCATGACCAGGCTCCAGCCATGCCACCTGAGAACAGCCCCTGGGGGCTGATGCTTGCCTGCTTATTCTGTCTCCCCCCACACCCTAAACACAGCAAAGAGGAAACAGCATCGACTCCTCGCTTGCAGCTGTCTCCCTGTCAAGCCCCCACCTGTTTCAGTTTGTGGAAAGATGCATTCACATTTTTGGGCAGTGTTTTATTTTATACTTCACGTTTGCTGCATGCATTCATGCAGAAATGTGCATCTGCACACACTTGCACAAACATAGTCATTCCCCACCTTCACCACCATCAAATAACACATGCTGTAACACTGCAGTGAGAATGGAGGTGAAACAGAACAAATTTCACCTCCACCTTCACTGCGGTGCAAGCAGTCAGAAAGGCTGCAGAAGCAGATGGATCAGCAGGAGTTAACTACAGCGTTGGCTGAGCACTCATCAGAAAATCTGGGCTGGAAAGTACTCCCAGGGTGTAATCACCAAGAGGGGAGAGTCATTGTCTGGGGGCAAACCAGGGGCAGCATTTGTAGCACTGGAATGAAATCAGGTTTGATGTTTGGGAAAGGGGTTGACCTTGCCCAGAAGGAGGAGACTGGGAGGGAGAGACTGTGGCACTATCCAGGTTGCGCAGGCCCAGCCCAGCCAGGGAGACTTCTGGGAGGCGGTGGCCACCCTGTCCAAGAAGTGGCCACCCAGGATGTCGGTCTCGTGGCTGGAAATGGCTTTGCGGGAAGAGAGGCCGAGGCCTTTCCCCATCACCTGTGTTTTAGACCTTGGAACTAATGGCCACATGCAGCCCTCCAACCATTCATCCTGACAGCCCCACTGCATTACTTCGGCCGTGAACCATGCAGCTTGTGCTTCAGTTCACCCTCAGCCACTGCCCCGTGCTTTACAGCTGTTCCCACGTTCCTGCATTAAGACGACAAACACAATGCAGCTCATCCAGATTTTCTTAAAGGAAGCTGAGAGTAGGTGCAGTTTCCCATTTTAAATGCACTTAAATCATGAGTTCAGGAATAACATGGGGTTTGCTTTGGATGCCCTGAGGTCCTCTGGGTGGTCATTCCAAGTAAGGGTGGGCAGCCAACTTTGGCCCCAACTTGCAGCCCTCACTGCTGTGCTGACTGCCTGCTCCTTTTCGAACTGGAGATGCCCGGAATCGAGCATGGCAGGCAGCGCTCCAGAGAACCTTTCCGTTGCCCTGACCTATGTGAGGCAGCCTCCAGCTTCTCCCTGGAAGCGGCGTTCGCTCTGCGTGCCAGGGGCTTGTTCACTGCGGCGAGAGGCAAGGCTCTGTATCGGCACGGGAGGAGGACTAGGCAGGCCTGGGCCTGTCTGCAGAGCCGTCGGAAGAACTGTGGCTGGCTGTCCCAGGAAGGTCGAGTGCAAGGCCGAGGCAGGACATGCACGGGACACTGTGCTCATAGAATGCAACCGAGCACTTCTATGGCAACGGTGGAGAGAGGAGAGGGTGATGATTTGCCCCTTCCGTTGCACACCCAGCTGGGGAGAGTCGAGCCCTCCGCCCCTGCTGCCATCCTAAACAGCCTGCAAATTTTCCCCAACGTTGCACAGAGGTGGGAGGGAAATAGAGAGACCACGGGAGCACTTTCTAGTGTCAGAATCTGCACAGCCCTTCTGTGCAAGCATCTTCATTTTGGCATGCCAAAGCCAGCACAGAACTTTGTCCAAATGCACCCTGTGAGCCAGATAAAATCTGTGCCGGCTGTGAAGAAGAGTGCCTCTTTGGAAGCCTCCTTCTGTATTGCCTACTGAGTGTCAGCGAGTCAATGAGGCCCATTCTCCACCCACTGGGGCTCAATGAAGTGGGAACCGGCTGGTACGGCACAAACACGGCCAACTGGCAAGGAAAGCCCGTGCAAGGAAGACAGTGCTGAATCTAAAATTAGGAGTGGTACCATTAGGAATGGTGCCATAAAAAAGGAGGTCTTTGGTGTGCAAGGCAGAGGCTGGCACCCATCTCGGCAGGTGGGGGGCCTCTGCAGCTGCCGCGCCAAAAAGGGAGAGCCATCAGCAGACATAAGGTCAGCCCAGGATTACAGGCCATGCCACACTCTGGCTCCTTTTCCCGCAAGATGCATTACGAGAATCCTGCAGTTATTCTGGCCCAGGGGT